GCCTGGATACAGTACAAGGGACAGAAAGAGGCTTGCCTCTCACTCCCTGGTTGATTTTGCTATCTGCTGTGCCAGGAGCTGTTCTATGCCATGCGCCGCCCTGCCTTGGAGCAGCCAATTAGGGACTGAAACCTCTACAAACTGTTAGCTAAATAAACCTTTCCCCCCTTAACCTTGGGTGTCAGGTATTTTATCCCATCAACAAAAAAAGTAACTAAGATGCACCCAAGACAGTCCTACTACCCCTGCTCTAGAAGCACCCACATACAGGGCATAGCACCCCTTCTCCATTCAGCCTCTGAAAATGACAGCCAGGCTGGTGGACAACACCTCCATGCCCCTTGGATGGGACAATCGAAGGCGCCCTTTTCATCCACACCCAGAGATCCCCAGGAGAATGGAGCCCGGACCGCCCATAGCACTGCCCTGTCCCTTCACTAACAATAAACTGCCTTCCTTGTCCTCCTCCTCCCAGTATCACTTCCTCCTTCCCTCCCACCACCTCCCAGGTTCACCTGCATCCAATTCCCCCCCCTTGGGCCTAAGTTCTGAAGAGCCCAAACTCGATGGCACCCATGGGCCACCCCTCCCCTATTCACTGGCTGCCACATGCCAAGCACTCGTTCCACGGGCTGAGGATGCCAGATGCTGAAAGAGACAGGCAACCCAACCGGGGGCTGTTGTAGTCTCCCTAGTCAGACTCTTGTGACAGTAGAAGAGACGGGTATCCAGATGCTCTCTGCAGTATGTGATTGCAAGCAGACCACCAGGGAATGGATCCCCAGGACCCACTGGGAAGAAAGAAAAAATGTCTTTTTGCTGGCTACTACCTGGATTTATTGTAGCCACAGCAGTTTGTCCCAAACTGACATCATTGTGTTCCTTGTTTTGTTCATGGGACTGATGTCTGTGTAGAACAGAAACTCTAAGGCTGGGGGGTGTGGCACTTGCCTAGGGAATTGGATTCTCAGCCCTGGACCGAACACGAACACACACACACACACACACACACACACACGTATTATACACACTCAAGTTAAATCCTGAATCCTTAACACTCAGGAGAGGCTAAGGCAGAAGGATCACTACCAGTTTGAGCCCATCGTGGGCTACACAGTGAGTTCAAGGCCAGTCTGAACTATGCAGTGAATACTCTCTCAAAAAAGAAAAAGAAAAAGAAGAAAAGACAAATAATTTGAAAGTGTGTTTTTGGACTGCCTGAAGAAAAAGTCTTGGTTTAAGGGATTCCTCAGTCCTAAAACTGTCCAGTCTCACAGCTGGGAGCAATTTCTTTCCCCCAGGATGGGAGGGTCACTCTCTTATCTACTTCTTCCATTAGTGAGAGATTTTCAGGCCATAGGTAGATTCAAACCTATGAAGAGGGGTAGTGGCACACACCTGTAATCCCAACACTTTTGGGAGACTGAGGCAGGAGGGTTGCTAGTTTGAATCCTGTGTGAGCAACTTACCAAGACTTTATCCATAAAAAATAAAAAGGACTGGCGATAGCTCTGGGTTCCCCAGTACCACCAAAACTTTTAAAAGTTCAAATCCAATTGCCTACAGGTGGACATGAATGCCTCTTAGCTCTGTGAGCCAGCCCAGTCCTAGGTGATGAACATCCAGACCTGGAAGCCACCTGCTCGGGGCAGGCCGGCGGGGACACTCGGGCCAGCACTCCACCGGAGCCCTAAGGCCAGCACAGGAGACAGGAAGCCCTTTCCTCACCCCACACGAGATCCTGGTCACCTGTTCTTCGACTGGGCTTGGAGGCCAGGTGGCGGCGCCTTAGGGAGCGAGGAAGGCTTCCACGCGCTCCCGACGCCGCTCCAAAGCTGCGCTCAGGTAGCTGTGGGAGCCCCGCACTCCCGCTCCTCCGCGTCCCCACCCCCTTGCTCGCGGCTCCGCAGCCGGGCTTAGGCCCCTGCCTGCGCGCCAGGAGGAGGGGGCGTTTCCACCTGGGAGCGCGGGGGCGAGGCGGGGCGGGCGTCCGCAAGGCCTTGGGGCGGAGCGGCTCCGCAGTCCTGCCCCGCCCACCCTGAGTCACCCTCTCCGGCCCGCGCCCGCCCTGGAGCTCTCCGGGAGTCCCGGCCGCTCCATACCCCGGGACACAGGAACTTGACTCAACATCCACCCCGCTGCGGTGAGTAGGGGCTCCCCACCCGCGGGGACGGGCCGGCTAGATGGGGGTCTGGCTGGAGCCGGGTACGGCCCGGAGGAGGATGGCTCAGGTGCGCCTGGCACTGGCTGGGCGACTGTCCCGGACACACGGGAGCTGGGGGTGGGGACAGGGGTGCACAAACAGGCCCCGCCTAAGGGGCACCTGCGCCGGGAGAGAGAGCCGGCAAACGGCAGAGGTCCGTGCTGGGTATCCCGACTTCGCTGCCCGTCCTGGGCTGGGAAAACCGCACCGACTTCTCATGGTGAGCACCCCAAACCCTCGGACCCCGCCCTCGGAATCCCGCTGTGCGTGAACTTCTAGACTCCGGAGTTCAGGCAGGGGCAGCTTGGAAAAGTGGCGGCCTGGCCAAGATCTGTGCGTCAGGGGCCACCCTCCCCGTGCCCCGTGCCTCAGTTTCCCAGTTGTGGAAAAAGCAAGGCTTGGACTTTGATTTGAGGCTGAAAAACTTGGCTACTTCTTGCTGCACCTTTAGCATGCAGGCCGTGGGTGGGTGATGGGCTGTGGGTGAGGAGGAGACTGGGCCAGAATCGCCCTCCACCTCCGCCTAAGCAGGAACTGGTCTGCCATGTCTTGGGAGGCAAACAGCTTGATGCCAGCCTGAGAGCGAAGTGGAGGTGAAGCGTAGATGGGGGAGGCGTGTGGTCCTAGGTTAACAGGGCCCCTCAGCCTGGCCTTCTGGAACACCCCTCCCAGGTTCTTCTGCAAAGACACTACACTTCAAGCACACCTTGATCCCAGCACTCAGGAGGCTGAGGCAGGAGGATCCGCAGGAGTTCAAGACCAGTCTGGGCTACATAGTGAGTTCAAGGCCAGGCCAAACTACATAGTGAAAGCCTGTCTCAAAAAAAAAAAAAAAAGCAAAGATGCTGTAACAGTAAGAAGAGCTTTTCCTACACAGACCAGAGTGGATGGCACCAGACAGACAGGAAGTGAAGGGTAGACAGTCTGGGCTCAAATGCCACCTGGAACTGTACCACATGTAAGTTATGCCTGTGCCCTCAAGTCTGGAAAACAAGAGCCCCAATGCCCCAGGCTCCCAAAATGGGAGCCGCGGCGTGGCGAGCACCCAGCACCACACTGAGCCTGGTGTCCATTGTTGCCCGCCCCTGCCCAGTCTTGGATGTCCCTTTCTCAGAGCCCCGCCACCAGTTCTGCTCAGACACGGGGTGGGGGCAGCTCCAAGTCGGTGGAAATTTAATGGTCGGTTTGGACGATCACATTTGAGTCATGGAGACAGTAATGATAGTCCCCCATGTCCTCCCCTGGCTCTATGTGTATACATACACCTTCCCCCGCGAGCCTTCGGCTGTCTTTATGGGACCTCCTTCCTGGGACTGCGTCCCTGGGGCCATGCAGGTGGGTGGTGGAGGTTAGACCATTAGGAGGTGGGTCCAAAGAAGTTGCTTCCAGCTTGTCTGTGTGATGTTTTTGCTGTCCCCCACAGTACTGCTTTTTTTCCTTTTGGATCGCTGAGGCTTCAACCCAGAGCCTCCTGCATGCTAGGCGAACACTCCAGTCTCAAATTGCCTTAAACTCACGATCCTCCTGCCTCAGCCTCCTGAATAGCTGAGATCGGAGGGTTTACCACTGCACTCAGCCCTGGCTTACTGTTTTTTGGTTAAAAGAAATCTACAGTGCCCCTTCAAAGTTAAAGGAACAGAGCAGTGGGCCAAAATGTTTCATCAAGGCCGCCCTGCGCAGCTGGAACTCAAAGCAGATGTTACACACACACCCCCTTCCCTCTGCTCTGTGCATGTTTGCACCGGCACCCTTGCGCATGCGCCCAAAGCCATGTTGTCGTGCTTCCCCCCCTCCCCCAGTCCCATTTGGTTGTCATGTGTGCTCATTCCCTGAGCTGGGCTGTCGTAGGCTTTTTCTACCAGATTAGACACTGGCTGGCAAGGAGGCCAAGCTCATTGTTACTTGGCTTTATGTGTAGCAGTGAGCAGGGGGGGACCATGAGGTATCCCATAAGAGATGCTGGATCCTGGGTGCTCCTTGACTACAGACACCCGTATTGAGACGCCAGCCTTGAGGGGCTGAGGGGTACAGTTATGTGGACTTCAGGCTTAGCCTGGTGAGCAAGGTCTGTGCTATGCAGAATGGCCCACGTGCCTACCTTGTCCGGACTCAGGAGTCTCCCCTATGTCTCTGGGAAACACTGGGACAGATATGGGGGCACAGAAGTGTCACAGCAGCTGGTTGAGGTTCAGGACAGAAGGGTGGGGTTTCCTCCTGTGGAAGAGGCCAGGCAGGCCATATGGTCCTGTGCCTGTGACCAAGGTGTGGCCAAGAGGCGCCTAGAAATCTGCCTAAGAGACAAGGGATGAGGCAGGGTGGAGCCTGGGAGCTGGCAGAGGTGGGTAGCCCATGCCCCCCCCCTTTTCTCCAGCCTGAATGAGCAGCCCAAGATCAGAAGTTGATGTCCTGAGAGTGCCATGCCTTCCCTGTGGGACTTGGGTTTAGCCCATCTGTAGCTGCAGTAACAATACCTTGATCAAAAGGGAAACCTGGGACGCAATGGGCTGCAGCCCAAGAGTCTGGCAGCCTCACGTGGTGCCAGCCGCCTGTAGGTGCCACTCTGAGGTTTCCTTTTGCAGACGCTCCACCCTTCACATTCCAACGCTCCATGCCCTCTCCAAGCCTAGGTGGATCTCAGATTCTGGCCTCCAGAACCCTCTGGTGGAAACTCAGGTGTCCTGGTCACACCCCCCAGGGCTACTAGCCTTCAGCACGGCCACGCCCTAAACCCTGGGGCCTGGGTAACCAAAGCACAGCCCCGCTCCAGCCGGCTTTTCCGGTTGGAGGTTGTGCCCAGAGTGCCCCTGAAGGAGGGGGTGGGGGCACACCCCCCCCCCCAAGTCCTGAGTCCTGGGACAGGCTCTGGTCCCGTGGGTTGACACCTGGAAAAGAAATCGGGATACCTTGGAGTAGGTGTTTGGGGGCTTCTGGCGATGCAGCAGGGGGAAGATCCCTGATTTTTGTTTTGTTTTGTTTTGTTTTTGGTGGACTCAGGCCCTTGCGCTTGCCAGGGAAGCACTTATTCTACTGAACCATCTCCCAGGTCCCTAGATCCCTGGGTTTTGAAAGGACACATGGGAAGCCAGGGACAGGGACAGTGAGCTGCCATGCCTCTCCTGTGCTCTGAGCTCCAGGCAGTTGGGCAGACAGGTGGGGACAGGGGCTCGGGAGGAAGGAGAGGAAGCAAGATCAGGAGAGGTGAGGCCTAGCATGGGACAGGCAGGCAAAGCTCGAGCTAAAGAGGAAAAGGGGACAAACTGTAGGTTCTGCCAGACTGTGGCTGGGCCAGAAGTGGACAGGGATCCCCAGGCAGAGACACTGGCAGATTCCTCGCGATCTCTCTGCATCCCCTTCTCACTGCTTCCAACAGACAAGATGATCCCTGTGGCCGAGTTCAAGCAATTCACGGAACAGCAGCCTGCGTTCAAGGTGCTCAAGCCCTGGTGGGACGTGCTGGCGGAGTACCTCACGGTGGCCATGCTCATGATCGGGGTCTTCGGCTGCACGCTGCAGGTGAGGGGTGGGGCCGTGGGGTGGGGCCAGCCTGCGGAATCCCCGAGGGCAGCGGCTGCCAAACCCCGCTGGGCCACTCCCAGCCCCCTTCCGGCCCCTCACCCACCACCGCTGGCAGCTGGCAGCTGCGGCGTCAGAGTCCTCCGCAGCGCTATGGTGTTTCTTACTATTTTTTTTTTTTTCTTGCTGGGGATTTCGGTGTCCTGGACAGGGTGGGAGGCAGCCCGGGCCTGCTGGGCAGAATCTTTTCAAAACTTTCTCCTGCACTCTTTTTTTTTTTTTTTCCATAATTTTATTGAGAGACAAATAGCAATGAGACAGTTTCAAATCAAACTGGTAGGACAGTTTCAATAATTAACACATTGCATACTCTCTTCCTAGTGGTTATTTGCTGTACAAGATTTTCCTGCACTCCTGACAACTCCAGATGTTCTGTCTTCTAGATAGCATGTTTTTTTTTTTTTTTTTTTTTTTAATGTATTTAGTACAGGGCCTCATTGCACACATCAGACTCAGTGATCCTCCTGTTTTCAGCCTCCCAAGCGCTGGGATTACAGGTGCAAGCCACTGTGCCCAGTCTCATTTGCTGTCTCAGCATGCTGGGGGATGGGGTGGGTAGCTCTAGCTCTTTTTTTGGTTTTGTTAATTTTTTTCTTTGAGACAGGATCTCACTAAATTGCCCAGGCTAGCCTTGAACTTGTCATCCTCCCACCTCAGCCTCCTGAGTAGCTGGGAAGACAGATGTGTACCACCATCCCTGGCTTAAATGTCCCCTCTTTGTAAGGACAGTTCCAAAGGATTAGAGCCTATCCTAATGGCCTTACCTTGACCCAATTACTTCTGTAAAGACCCCTTTTTTCCTATTTATTTATTTTTGCGGTACTGGCGATTGAATTCGGGACCTTGCACTTGTCATGACGGCAGGCACTTTACACCACTGAGCTATAACCCTAACCCAAGACCCTATTTTCAAATAAGGCCACATTCACAAGGTGGAGATTTCAACAACTTTGGGGGTGGGAGGTACAACTTGACCCAACTCCTATTTTCAGACAAGGACTGATGCTGAATTTTTAGCAACTGTTCCCCAAATCAGCCGGCTGCCAGCTATCAGGTTGGGGTTTCCCAGCTCCCCAGCCTCTCACTGATTTTGCCATCTAATACACAAACCATAACACCATCTTACCATCACCAGGTGACACAGGACAAGATCATCTGTCTGCCCAGTCATGAACCCCGGGAGAACTTCTCAGAGGCCCCATGCCAGCAGCTGTTACCTCGGGGGGTCTCCGAACACATGGGGGGCCTCCGGGAGCTGAGTGGCCTCAAGAACAACTTGGACCTGCAGCAGTACAGCTTTATTAACCAGCTGTGCTATGAGACAGCCCTGCACTGGTATGCCAAGTACTTCCCCTACCTGGTCGTCATCCACACGCTCATCTTCATGGTGTGCACCAGCTTCTGGTTCAAGTTCCCTGGCACTAGCTCCAAGATTGAGCACTTCATCTCCATCCTGGGCAAGTGTTTCGACTCGCCGTGGACCACTCGGGCCCTGTCTGAGGTCTCCGGAGAGAACCAGAAAGGCCCAGCCACTGGGCGGGCCACAGTAATCACGGTGGCTGCAGCAGGGACCGGGTCTGGGAAGGCAAGTGAGGGTGAGAAGGAAAAAGTGTTAGCAGAACCCGAGAAGGTGGTCACTGAGCCTCCAGCTGTCACCCTGCTGGACAAGAAGGAGGGTGAACAAGCCAAAGCCCTGTTTGAGAAGGTCAAGAAGTTCCGGGTGCACGTGGAAGAGGGGGACATCCTCTACACCATGTACATCCGGCAGACGGTACTCAAAGTATGCAAGTTCTTGGCCATCCTGGTCTACAACCTGATCTACGTGGAGAAGATCAGCTTCCTGGTGGCCTGCAAGGTGGAGACCTCAGAGGTCACTGGCTATGCCAGCTTCTGCTGTAACCACACAAAAGCCCATCTCTTCTCCAAGCTGGCCTTCTGCTACATCTCCTTCGTGTGCGTCTACGGGATCACCTGCCTGTACACGCTCTACTGGCTGTTCCACCGGCCGCTCAAGGAGTACTCCTTCCGATCTGTGCGTGAGGAGACGGGCATGAGCGACATCCCCGACGTCAGGAACGACTTTGCCTTCATGCTGCACCTCATTGATGAGTATGACTCCCTCTACTCAAAGCGCTTCGCTGTCTTCCTCTCCGAGGTCAGCGAAAGCCGCCTGAAGCAGCTCAACCTCAACCATGAGTGGACACCAGAGAAACTGAGGCAGAAGCTGCAGCGCAACTCTCAGGGCCGGCTGGAGCTGGCTCTCTGCATGCTGCCTGGACTGCCTGACACTGTCTTTGAGCTGAGCGAAGTGGAGGCCCTCAGGCTGGAGGCCATCTGTGATATCGCCTTCCCCCCAGGACTGTCGCAGCTCGTGAACCTTCAGGAGCTCAGCTTGCTGCATTCCCCGGCCAGGCTGCCCTTCTCTTCCCAGATCTTCCTACGGGACCGCCTGAAAGTGATCCGGGTCAAATGCGAGGAGCTCCGTGAGGTGCCCCTCTGGGTGTTTGGGCTTCGGGGCTTGGAGGAGCTGCACCTAGAGGGGCTTTTTCCTCCAGAGCTGGCTCGGGCTGCTTCGCTCGAGAGCCTCCGGGAGCTGAAGCAGCTCAAAGTGCTGTCCCTGCGCAGCAATGCCGGGAAGGTGCCAGCTAGCGTGACCGACGTGGCAGGGCACCTGCAGCGGCTCAGCCTGCACAATGACGGGGCGCGCCTGCTTGCCCTCAACAGCCTCAAGAAGTTGGCAGTCCTTCGGGAGCTGGAGCTGGTAGCCTGTGGGCTGGAGCGCATCCCCCATGCCATCTTTAGTCTAGGTGCACTGCAAGAACTTGACCTCAAAGACAACCACCTCCGGTCCATTGAGGAGATCCTCAGTTTCCAGCACTGCCGGAAGCTGGTCACGCTCAGGCTGTGGCACAACCAGATTGCCTATGTCCCAGAGCATGTGCGGAAGCTCAGGGGCCTTGAGCAGCTCTACCTGAGCCATAACAAGCTGGAGATGCTGCCCAGCCAGCTCGGCCTGTGCTTCAGCCTCCGACTGCTGGACGTGTCCCACAACGGGCTGCATTCCCTGCCACCCGAGGTGGGCCTCCTCCAGAACTTGCAGCACCTGGCTCTCTCCTACAATGCCCTTGAAGCCTTGCCAGACGAGCTGTTCTGCTGCCTCAAGCTTCGGACATTGCTCCTGGGCTATAACCACCTCTGCCACCTCTCACCCCTTGTGGCAGCCCTCAGGGCCCTCAGCCGCCTGGAGCTCAAGGGCAACAGGTTAGAGGTGCTGCCAGATGAACTGGGAAGCTGCCCAGGACTGAAGAAGGCAGGGCTGGTGGTGGAGGACACCCTCTACGAAGGGCTGCCCGCTGAAGTTCGAGAGAGGATGGAGGAGGAATGAAGTCGGGGAGCAGGCTGAAGAAGAGGACTTCGGATGCTTCCACCCCGCCAAGGGGCTCCACCAGGAGAGGAGGAGTGAATGTGTCAGCTTTGTGGGGTTCAGACTAGATCCTGAGACTGGTTTGTCCAGGGAGAGACAGGAAGCTGTGGATTTGGGGTGGAACTATGTGGAAATACTAACACAGCCATAGAACCCTCAGATCAAAGCCACACCTGTCTTTGGCTGGCTGGCCTGCCCGCCCTCCAGGCATTCCAGCTCCATTAGTGTTGTGGATGGCGGTGGGACCACATCCCACCAACCAAGCAGCCCACATGTGGTTCTCTCCCAAGGAGAGGACACAGACAGAAAGGACAGGGGTTCCCACTCCTCCATCCCCACTTGGATGCTTTTTTCTGACTTAGAAGTAGTTTGCTGCAGATCCCTGTACTTATGATTGGCTGTTCACCGAAATCCACTGAGGAGCGAGGGCAGAACAAAACATCCGACCCCACCCCTAAAAGACTGACTCAGGAGCTTTGGATGGTGGCCAGGAACCCGATTGTAAATAAGCATGCCCAATAACTCATGATGGGTCTTAGGACCACATGATGGCAGTGGCTGCCCTAAAGAGCACGAGTACCTGAAAGTCTAGATTCTGAGCCCCTTTAGACTTTGAGAATCTGATGGAAGCTGGGCACCTCCTCCTTCGGTAAAATGTTCATGCACCATACACACAAAACCTGCAGACCACTTCCAGGTGGTCCACAGGGCTAGCCATGGGCTTCCTAAGGTTGGCTGACTCCAGGTTAAGAACACCTGTCCCGTAGAGTACGTTTTTCTGGAGACAGTGCAGGGCTGTTGTCTTTTGGGTGTTCCCTGTGTGAGGGAACATACAGCAGTGGGCGCTCAATAAATAATTATGGGGTCGGGGATATAACTCAGCGGCATAAGTGCCTGCCTGGCAAGTGCAAGGTCCTGAGTTCGATCCTTGGTACTGCAAAATAAATAAATAAATAAAATTAAATTCTGATTTCTCCTGAGTTCAATCCCCAGTACCCAGTAACGCAAAAAAAAAAAAAAAAAAAAAAAAAATTTATTTTTCCAGGGTTAAAATCCCCCATCCCCATTAACAAAAAAAAAAAAAAAAAAAAAAAAAAAATCTGATTTCTTCTGCGAATGCCTCCTACTGGGCTCCATAGCAAGACCCTGTCTCAAAAACAAAACAAGAAATCTGCATTCCTTGAGCTGTGCTGATATTCTGGGGTAGGAGCAATGGCGATGCCGCATCCTAATGTCCCACGCAGGTCTGGCTGGCACAACGACCTTGACCTTCACGCTATCACGGAGCTCAGGATCACTTCACTGGATCCCCAAAGCCCTCTTTCCCACCAGCTCAGCTTGCCTGGACTGGGTGAAAGAGAAAGGGATTCCCATGGGTGCCCAATTATGGTGAGGAGGCGGCACCGCGCTGCCAGCGGGAGGTAAGGCAGCAATTAAGTGTAACAGGGATTTTAATATCCGAGGTGTGGAAGCCAGGGTGAAACCATCCAGGAAGACCGAGAGAAACCTGGGGATGCATCAAGTTGGAGACTTCAGATGACATGCCGCGGAAGGGTTGTGCCTGCATAGCAGAAGGCGCGCGCGGGACCCTGTCGGTCCGTCTGTGCGCCTGCGCACCACCACTCTAAGGTACGTGGGTTTCCACGCAGCGCCCCTCCGTGGCAGGGTCAGTCACCCACGCATGCGCACCACGGAGGTGTGGGGACTGTGGAGGCACTGCACGTTGCCAACCGCGAACTCTAGGTGGCATCGTCCCTCAAGCTGCACCAAAGCACGCACGCGCGGAGATTCGCACGCGGACGGGGCGGGCGTGCGTCGTGGGCATGCGCCTTGCGGGACTAGACGGAGGCTCGGTGGGGTCACCCGAGCGCAGGCGCAGTGCGGTGTTTGTCTGCCGGACTGACGGGCGGTCCGGCGGTGCGCGGTGGCAGCGGCGGCGGGGAAGATGGCGGCGTCTTCCCTGGAGCAAAAGCTGTCTCGCCTGGAAGCAAAGCTGAAGCAGGAGAACCGTGAGGCCCGGCGGAGGATCGACCTCAACCTGGATATCAGCCCCCAACGGCCCAGGCCCAGTAAGCACGGCGGCGTGGGGGAGGGGGCGGGCGGGGCGGGGCGCACGCCGCAACGGGCCCCGCCCCCGCCGCTAGGCCCCGCCCCCGCTTCCGGGGCGCTCCCGCTCTTCCAGTCCTCTCGCAGCTGTGGGCTCTGGGGGAGAGGGTCACGGTGACCCGGGGGGCGTGGGGCCGGCGGGCTCCTGGGAGGCCCTCGGGCGTGGAGGTGCTTAACAGCCCCAGGCTCCAGAGCCTTGTCACCCCGCCGCGGGGGACGACCCACCACGGATTGACCCGCCTGGTCGCTGCGATTGCGAGAGCTTGTCACCCGCGCTAAGCGGGACTCACGACCTCACGCCACCGTGACCGTGACAGCTTCCCGCAAATAGAACCACATCCCTTTTGACCTCCTGACTCCACTCTCTCCATCTCGGTGACTGTCAGCCATCGCCTCCACTGGAGACACCTGGGGGTCACAAAACTGTATATGACCTCACACATACTCCATCCTACCCGACCCGACCCGTTGGACTGATTCCACTATATCTGTTGGTCCATCTCCCCAGCTTGGAATGATCTTGTGATTTCGCTTTATAGACCCTTCCGCAGTCATAGTCCTGACCATCTCATACCCTTGTGAGTAGCTTGGGTACTATCGTGGAGGGGTGCGCAGCTCTCTAGCAATACACACCCACCTCCCAGCCTAGTGACTGTTCCCTTTTTCCCACCGGCACTTAGCCCGAGGACACTTGAAGCCAGTGTGAGTATATCTATTGTCCCTCTGCCCACCCCCAGCGTCCATACCCCTCTGTGCTGGTCTTCCCATCTTAGTGCCTGCCTCCCTGACATCTGGTCACCCTGGATCAACAGCTGGTGACATCTTGTCACCCCCTTCATACACATCTGGCCAGGGACCACTGTGACTACATATAGCTGCCTCGTTGTGCACCACAGACCCCTGTTCCCAAGTTTTCAGAGCTGAAGTGTGATGCAGTTCTTCTCCCCACAGACCCTGTGACCAGCCCCCCCATGACCCTTTCTGTATCTCTCGGCCCAAAAACTACCCTAGTATTTCCTGTGGTGTGAACCCGTGGCTAGTCCCGCATATTTAGACATTCTGTGGACTCTCTAGTGACCTCACCTGACCTCCCTGTTCCTGTTCACTCCCGTTTCCCCCTTTTGTGACTTGGGTCAGTTTCAGGGAGTCTCACATGGGCCCAGAGAAATGCTGGAGATGAAGCTGCTGTTGTCCGATGCTGCTGGGCATAGTAGCCCACCAAGACCTGGATGGTCCCAGCCAGGCTCTGCAGGGCTGCCCCCCTCAGCCTGGGACAGCTTGGGTCCTGGCATCCTCTAAATGCAGAGCCCTCGAGGGCTGGCGGGCCGAGGTGGGCAGGCCCAGGAGCCCCACAGGCATCTGTGTCTCAGCTCCATCCCGTCCTCCCTGCCCTCCCTTCTCTGTCGATTTCTACCCATCTCTGCAATGTGGTGTCTCATGCCTACCCCCCTCCTCATTATGATTTGATTTCTTTTCTGTTGGACGAACCAGCCATTTCTGTTGTGATTTATCGTGGTGTTGTTTTTTTTCTTCCTTTCCCATCCAGTTATTGTGATCACTCTAAGCCCTGCTCCTGCCCCGTCCCAGCGAGCAGGTACCAGCCTTTTTATCATCGCTGCTTGGACGTCTGCACCACTGACCTAACCGCTGCCCCGGCCGCAGAATGCCCTCCCTCCCCATGCTCTGTGTGTGTGCTGTCTGCTGTCCCTTTTTCCGTGAGAGCAGTGTGGACTCAGCTCCAGTCTCCTCTGTGTCCTCTCTCTTAACTCTCCACCCTCCCTTGGCTTCCGTTTGGATTCCCTAGAGGAGAATCGATGCCCCTAATGAATGGGGAGTCTGTCACCTGCTGAGGGGGCGTGTGCATCGATGTGTGTGTGTGTGTGTGTGTGTGTGTGTGTATAACAGAGACAGTGGGGCCTGGGAGGTGCAGGCCTACTCAGTCTGTCGCAGCACTTGGATGAGGGTCACGCCTGAGTGTTCCCTGCCTGTTCTCAGCACTGGGAGCACAGCAGTGACCAAAGAGGCCAAGCCACTGCCCTGGGTGGACAGTGAGCACATCCCTGTATAGAGGACAGAGACCACATTCTGCTCACTGGGGGGCCCACCGTGGGTCTCCGAACGCCTCCAGGAGAAATGGTCGTGAGGCCTGGGTCGACCCTGCTGAGGCTCTGTGCTGGCAGCGACGTGCTTTAGAAACAGACTTTCGGGGCCCTGTGGGTTCCTAGGCGGGGAGAAGTGCCTGTCTTGGCAGTTGGGAACAGGTCTGGCCATGAAGGTAGTTTTTGTGTGGCAAGGTAGGGTGTTTGTGTGTACCCACTCCCGTGTGGGTACACGCGTGAGCACGGGTATGTCTGTGTGATGGCAGGGGGAGGGGGAGGGCCTGGCTTTGCCTGCCTGTGTGTGTGCACAGGCCTGCATGCAGGAGTGCATGCCTGGTGGGCTGGTGGCTGCAGCTCCAAGGCTCCTGTGGGTGGCACAAGCCCCATGCTGGCTCGCATTCATTCATTCATTCATCCATTCGTTTCTTTTTACCTTTTGTTGTGTCACCTTTTTACTTTCTTCCTGCCCTCCTGAGCTGGTATGTGCCTTTCACCACCTCTGTGACCTCCGATTTCAGGACCTTTGTTTATCTCCATTGTTTTCCTGCTCCAGCCCCCTTGGGTCCCCACCATCTGTGGTATCTGGGGCTAGCAGCTTTTTGTGCAGGCCTGGAGCAGCCCAGGAGGCAGTTCAGGGAACAGACTGATAGGATGTGTCTGGTGACAAAGGGGCGGGCCTGGGTACCTGCCCTGCCAGGACAAGAGCTGAGCAGTTCCTAGAGAGTCCAGATGAAGGAGGGTGAGGAGCACAGCAGGTCCCTCGAGCCTGCAAGGGAGCTGTGCCGGGACAACTCGGCCACAGCAGAGCAGAGGTGCAGGGAGTGTCACCACACCTGCTGTCCTCTAGCCACAGGGCCAGGCTCTGCTTGCCTTCTCTGGTCCCAGGGCAGCAGCCCACCCAGGCCAAGTCTCCAGGAGTTATAGATGTGTGGTGAGACAGGGTGAGATGGGTATGGTGAGAAGGGACAGGTGTGGTGAGAAGGGAGAGAGCCCTGGAGAGTGGCGGGCTCTTGGGGTACAGACCCTTGGCGATGCTTCTCACCCGTGGCCTGGATACAGTGGACCCACAGAGGGCAAGTCCCTCAGGAGCCACACCAGCCCCTGGTCCAAGGATCCCCCGAACTTCTCAGGGAACCTGCTCTGCTGTCCCAGGCCCCTCTCTGGCCTGTCTTTGCACACTGCTCTGGGCGTCTGGGCCCCAGGCCTTGGCTCTTGTTTGTCTGTCTCCTGCCCCCCATCCCTAATGCTGCCTGCCTGTCTTGAGGTGCCTGCTGCCTGCCCACCCGCCCACCCACCCGCAGCATGTCCGAGCTGTCTGCATGCAGGCCGCTGGAGAGTACTGAGCCCTGCCTGACCTAGCACCCACTCCCTGCCCAGTCCTGCCCACCCCTGGCAGAGCTGTACCCTGCTGCCCCTGCCCCTAGGCCCCAGCTCTGCAAACCTGACTCAGAGGTGCACACAGGGCCCACCTGACGAGAGGGCTGCTCCCCCAAGCCTGACGCAGAACATGGGCGAGGCACCTGGAAGCCAGGGTCCTACATCTAATGTGTACCCAGGGTGGTCCTTGCTTGTGTTTGGCCACCAAGTGCAGTGCTGGCAGCAGGGCCTGGGTCTAGGCTGCTCCTGGCAGGCGTCCACCTACCCTGGCGTGGGCCAGTATGGGCACTGTGGTTGAGGGCCTGCTTCCCGGAAAGGGACAGCCAGGGAGGCCACCTGACCCAGAGCCCCCATCAGGTCCCCCTCCCCCCTTGTTTCTCTGCCAGTGTGAACTTGGGACAAGCCTTTAGCCTCTGGGGACCATCCCTCCCCTCCCAGCCCAGTCCATCTCCTTCCAGGTCAGCAGGACAGGAGGAGGAGCCCTAAGGACGGCTTGGGGTGGGAGGCAGACCCTAGCAGCAGGGCAGGGGGCTTTGCCAGCCTGGCTGATGGATATGGGTGGAGGGTGGGAGTCCCACTCCCCCAGATGCTAGGCCCAGAGCTGAGTCCAGCGGATGTTCACCCCACCACTCTGGTTCTCAACCCCTAGCCCTGCAGCTTCCCCTGGCCAATGATGGAGGCAGCCGCTCACCATCCTCAGAGAGTTCCCCGCAACACCCTACGCCACCCGCCCGGCCACGCCACATGCTGGGGCTCCCGTCCACCTTGTTCACACCCCGCAGCATGGAGAGGTGAGCTGGGTGCCGATCATCAGGGACAGGTGGGGAAGCACTGCTGTGCTGGCCCCTAGGAGTGTATGGAGAGGTCTGTGGGCCTCCAGGTCACCCTCCGGAGGCTTAGGATCCCCTCCACTGGCTCCACCTCTCTGTCTCGTAGCATTGAGATTGACCAGAAGCTACAGGAGATCATGAAGCAGACGGGCTACCTGACCATCGGGGGCCAGGTACCACTGCTCGGCGCCTGGAGGGGTGAGGGCCAGGTGGCTGGGACTGGGCTGTGGGCCACAGAAGCCCAGGGACCTTTTAGCCCGTGCTTTCCCCCCAGCGCTACCAGGCAGAGATCAATGACCTGGAGAACCTTGGCGAGATGGGCAGCGGTACCTGCGGCCAGGTGTGGAAGATGCGCTTCCGTAAGACCGGCCACATCATTGCCGTCAAGGTGACCCGAGGCCCCATGTGCCGGCCCCTGCCCCTGTTCCCTGGCCTGTGGCCCTGAACATCCTTCCTGTTGACCCTTCTGCAGCAAATGCGGCGCTCGGGGAACAAGGAGGAGAACAAGCGCATTCTCATGGACCTGGATGTGGTGCTCAAGAGCCACGACTGCCCCTACATCGTGCAGTGCTTCGGGACCTTCATCACCAATGTGAGCCGCCCCGGGCCCAGGCCATCTGCCCTGTCGTCCCTCCTCCTCCTCCTCCTCCTCCTCCTCCTCCTCCTCCTCGGCGCCCGCCCTCCGTGGGTCCTCTGTCACCTCTGCCCTCCCTCCGCAGACGGATGTCTTCATTGCCATGGAGCTCATGGGCACGTGCGCCGAGAAGCTTAAGAAGCGCATGCAGGGCCCCATGCCGGAGCGCATCCTGGGCAAGATGACAGTGGCGGTGAGCAGCCGGGCTCCCCTGCCGGGTGGGCGGCCCCAGGCCTGGGCCCCTGTCACGGTGCCCTCCCTGTCTGCTGCGCAGATCGTGAAGGCGTTGTACTACCTGAAGGAGAAGCACGGGGTAATCCACCGCGATGTCAAGCCCTCTAACATCCTGCTGGATGAGCGGGGCCAGATCAAGCTCTGTGACTTTGGTATCAGTGGCCGCCTGGTGGACTCCAAGGCTAAGACCCGGAGCGCTGGCTGCGCAGCCTACATGGCGGTGAGCAGGCAGGCGCGCCTGGTGGGTGGGCCAGCGGCTGGAGGCTCCCCCTACCCTCATGCATCCGCTGCTCCCCCGGCAGCCCGAGCGCATCGACCCCCCAGACCCAACCAAGCCCGACTACGACATCCGGGCTGATGTGTGGAGCCTCGGCATCTCTCTGGTAAGTTGAGAGTAAGACCTTGTGGGCTGTGGGGTGGTTCGGAGAAGGGCCAGTGCCCTCCCCACGCTGCCTAGCCCTCCCGTCTCCCTCCCAGGTGGAGCTGGCTACAGGACAGTTTCCCTACAAGAACTGCAAGACGGACTTCGAGGTCCTCACCAAGGTCCTGCAGGAGGAGCCCCCGCTCTTGCCCGGGCACATGGGCTTCTCAGGGGACTTCCAGTCCTTCGTTAGAGACTGGTGAGCACCCGCCGGCCTGCCCTCTGCTCAGGAAAGCCCGGTGGGCTGGGGCCAGCAGGGGGCCACAGATGGGCTGCTCGAGTCCTGAGAGGTGCACACGCACTTGTGGCCCTGTGTGTCCTGCTGGGGTGAGTGGGGTAGAGCTACAGGGGCCCACCATGAGCCCCAGTGGGGACCTCACATCTCAGTTCAGCTGCCAAGCCAAGTCTGCACCTTGCCACCCAAGGCCAGGAGGCTGTGGATCATGCAGCCTGGCAGGGGCCCTCACAGCATGGGGCCTGAGGACGCCGGCACAGTGTGGAAGATGCCTGCTTACGTCTCTTCCCTCCCTCTTTCTCCAGCCTTACTAAAGATCACAGGAAGAGACCAAAGTATAATAAGCTACTTGTGAGTATCAGGGCCCCTCTGTGCCACTTGGGAAGCCCCCCAGGCCTGAGGACAGGCCAGGAAGGGACACCCTTCATCCTAAGCTCCCTTCGGGCCCACAGGAACACAGCTTCATCAAGCGCTATGAGACACTCGAGGTGGACGTGGCGACCTGGTTCAAGGACGTCATGGCGAAGACCGAGTCCCCGCGGACTAGCGGAGTTCTGAGCCAGCCCCACCTGCCCTTCTTCAGGTAGCCGTGTGGCGGCGGCCAGCCCCACCAGGCCAGGGGCATGGCCACCGGCCTCTTCCTGCTCTGGCCTCCCAGCTGCCCGCCAGGGGAGCCCCAGGACCTGGATGGCCACCGAGGGCTGAGGACAGAAGTTGGGAGGTGTCCACCACCCCGATGCTCTGCCCCCAGCTGTGGACACATAGGCCTGCCGGGCTTCAGCCCTTCCTGCTCCCGGTCAGCCAGCCGTGCGCTACCTGGACAGACACTGTGAACGGCAGACAGCAGGCCGCCCGCAGACTCACTATTTATTCAGTTGTAACCTCTGGGCTGGGGCGGCCCTTGCCAGGAGAGGCCCCCTTGCCCCGTGCCCCTGCCCCCACTCGCTCGCTCTCTCTCCCACTGCCTTCCCTTCAGCGGCTGGCTTTCCCAATTCTCCTGGCCCAGGCCTGGGCTCAGCCAGCCTAGCCGCTTGTCAGAGCCCAGGGTCTGCCTCAGTTTCCTCCAGTCCTTGGCAGGAGAGAATGGCACTCTTGGACTGTAGCTGGCCTGGGACTGGTTTCTCTCTTTTTCTCTTTGATCTCAGGGGGTCTTTTTTGGAGTTTATTATAGTATCCTACTTGGTGGGGTGTTTTGGGGAGGGGAGAGGAGAGCTCGTCCTCTTGGGGTGTGTTGGTACCTTCAGAAACTTTTACCAAAGTCACGTATAGCTGCTTTTGGTGGGGTGCCCACCAGCTGCCCTCGGGCATTGGGGGACAGGGGTTGGGGCTGGGCCACTGCTCCTTGTCAGCTGCCCACCTGAGAGGCCCAGGGTGGTGAGGCTCCAGGGCACCGCCTCCTGGGGCTGAAGGCTGGGTGCAGCGCAGCTCAGGGTGAGCTGAAGCGCTCAGGTCGGGGAAAGGGGGCCTAGGTGCAGGGAGCTCTGGGGAAGCTGGGCGAGTGGCATGGCAGGTGGCGAGGAAGCGGCTGGAAGGACTTGGAGATTGTGAGGGTGGGGTGAGGAAGTGGGTGAGGGCTGAGGGGAGCAGGTGTGTAGGTCTGAGCATGTGTGATAGCGACAGGGCGGACGGGAATGAGGTGGCTTCCCCCACTGTGGATCCAGTGCCCTTCAGTTTCCCTGGAGCGGGCTGCCAGCCCCAGCCTGCCCGGGAAGGACCCAGTGTCCACCCAAGGGGGCCTGCTACTGTGGCTGAGCAGGAAAGAGTGTGTTTCTTTTTTGTTGGTAATGCATGCAAATCAAGAGGACAAGAAAACAAAAAAAAACAAAAAAAAAATATATAAAACCACAAAAACCAACGCCAAAGGTGAGGAACCTTGCTGGATGTAGCTGAAGCAACATAGGCGTAGATGACACTATGGCCTGTTACCTATCTTACTGTTACTCCTACTATATTCACAATGCCGCATGTTTAAAATGTAATCAAGGTCGTCTTCTCTACCTGGAGAAGCCACCTTCTGCTCCCATCTCCTTTGTGAGGGGGTGGGGTCGACCCAGCGAAAGGCCTTGGAGGGTCACTGGAAGGTTGCTCTGCTGGTCCCAGGGCCAGCTCTGGCCTGAGGCTGGGCTGCCTGGTTTCCTTTTTATTTAACTTTATTTCCTTTGGTGTGAGTGTGTCTGCCCAACCCCCACCCTTCAGTGTTAAATGGGAGCCTGGGGGGACCCTCTTCTGCCTCCCTCCTTTCCAAGATCTCCCCTGTCACCAGCCATCCCTCTGGACCAGGCAGAGGGCAACGGGTCGGCAGCGGCCTGAGGTGGCCTGGCCCAGTGTGCTGGCCTATGGACCCTCACGCCGCCAGTATTGCTCTGTCCCTTTTTAAAACAAGATGCCCTCGTTTGTAACTCCGTAGATGCTTGAGAATAAAGCCCCTCCCTTTTTGTCCGAGTCTGTGGTGCATCCTCAGCCTGGCAGGGAGGAGTGGGGGATTGCCCAGAGGGAGAGCTGAGGCGGCCCTGGGTGCTGCCCAGGGTGTTTATAGTGATGAGACCTTCCTTAGGGACACCTGTCCAGGCGTCTCAAGTGCCCCTGGAGAGCCACGGTAATCCCTGGAGGCCTTGGGTGAGAGCTCTCGTGTCAGCGCCTCCGCCCCCGCTCCCTGCTTCCTGGGCTAGCTGGCTCGCCAAGGCCAGTGCTCCCTGCCCACCTGCAGAACCTGGGTGCAGCCCACGCAGGTGCCTGCTGCTGCCCGCAGCACTCCGACCTCGGCCCGCGCAGCATGTTGGGCACCGTGTTCCTGCTGGTCTTGCTGCCTGGGACTTGTGCTGGGCCCCTTGGTATGTAGACGGGAGCCTGCGCTCCCACCCTCAACCTCCTTTGTCAGATTTACTCTGTCTGCCCTACCTGGACTGGGGATAGGGTGGGGTCGCTGCCTCAACTCCAGGTGGGAACGTACCTCGAGTCCCCAGCAACCGCCGTGGGACAAAGGCTGTGTGGATGAGGGCGCCTGTACGCATAGTTTCCCGATCTGAATGTGGAGATGCTGTATGACAAGGACCCTAGCTGAGTCCCTCTTGAAAACTGACCTCTGGGGGGGAGGTTCAGGGCCTGCTCATGCGCACACGCGGTCGTGGAAGACTCCTGACCTCTGATATTGCTGCGGCCCCGATCTGGAAGTGAAGTATGGTCCCTGACGAACTGAAAACCCCGCACCTTGGGGTGTGCTGGATTCCAGTTGTACCCAGAAGAGCCTCTAGGTTGTCATACTCCTGTCCCCTTGATGCCAGCACCCACATCCCCTTACCAAGGTGGCCTCCAAGCCTAGTACAGTAAATCTCTTGAGCCCGACCTGGGTGAAGGCGAGCGCTCTAGTTCCATTGTGCCTCACTGGTGCGCCATGTCGTGCTCCTCAACTCCTTACTCCCCAGGACTCTCACCTGCTCTGCGGGTGGAGAAATAAAAGGTCAGGAAAGGCAGGATCCGCGCCAGGGCGGACAGCTGTGCGTCCTGGCCTCAGCTGCTGGCCTGGCTGGGACCTCTGGGGGTCGCTGGATGGCGCAGCCTGGTGACACCACCCAGTGGGGATGAATCGGCCACCAGAACCTCATCCCAATGCGGGGGGGGGGGGGGGGAGCTGGGGGAGGGGAAGGGTTTCCCAGAGGACCTTGGGAGCGCGTCCTCCTCTAAGACTCCTCCTATCCACACCGCCAGTGCCCCCGTTTTCCGGGACACCTGGGCCCTGGCTACGCAGACCCCTGTTTCATCTGGAGCTGTCAGATGCTGAGGATGCCTTCCCGCGCCGCGGGGGGCCACTTGAGGTGCCGGCAGACAGCCAAGTGTTCGTGCAGGTGCGGCGCCAGGGTCCCCGGTGGAGGTGGCTGGGGTAGGGACAGGCCTGGCTGACCTGTCTCCTGCCCCCAGGCGGCCCTGGCCCGGCCCTCTCCGCGCTGGAGCCTGGCCCTGCACCGCTGCTCGGTGACACCGTTCTCGCACCCAGCGCCTGGGCCAGCCCTGGTGCTGCTGCGCGGAGGATGCCCCGCCGACACTTCAGTCACCTTCCCGCCGCCGCTGCCGCCAAACCCAGGCAGTGCCCGCCTGGTGCGATTCAGTTTTCGCTTGCGCCCGGTCTTCAACGCCTCAGTGCAGTTCCTGCACTGTCAGCTGAGCCGCTGCCGCCGCCTCCGGGGAACCCACCAGAGGCCCTCACCCCAGACCCCGCAGCCACCGCCGTCGCGGGTGCGCAAGCACAGAGCCGGACATCTGTTCAAGCTGGGGCTGGGCCCTAACTCTCTGGCAGCGGGAGGGAGGAGGTTCCCATTTGGGGGCCCAAGACAAGGGTCTCGGGGGCGGGAGAAGACACCGAGTCTCAGGCTGGGGTCAAGGTGCTTAGCTCCCTCAGCGACCCATGGCATTCCTCGGTGGAGGAAAAGCGACGACTGGATTCCCTCGTGCCCAGGGCTCTAGGACCCTTTGGGTGGAGCTCTGAGGTTGCTCCACAGCTGGGAGGTTGGGTGGGTGAAGTATGCCAGGGGCCAGTCTGGGGGCACCTGGGATGGAGGCTTCATGGGTTAGGTACTGAGTGGCTCTGGCTTTTTTTGAGGGGAGTGGACCCCAGGTCCTACCTTGCGGCCTTCCCAGCCCTTTGATCAACTGACTCACTGAGACACGGACCTGTTAACCCTGCCAAGGAGGTTACCCAGGCTGGGCTCAGACCTTCGGCCCATGGCCTGACCTCTGAGGTCCTCTCAGGCTGGGTACCAGTTGGTTACTTATAGGCTGAACTCAGGGACTCTTAAGGAGCCAAATTTCCAGGACTCCCATGGTGGCCTCCTGGCTGCGGTGGGTAGCTGGGCACTTAGGCCTCTTAGGAGCCCAGGAGACCAGACCCAGGATCGCTGGACCGTGACCTCCCGGCCATCCCCTTCCTCCAGTGTTGGCCTCAGGATGAGGCATGCACGGGCAGCGGCGAGAGCCTCGGCGCTGACGGCCCCCACCTGCACACGCTAACACTGCCCATCGTGGTCACCGTGCCGCAGCCGCCCCCCAGTACGCACTTGGTCCTCCTCCCAGGATGCCCTAGGGCCAGGGTGGGCATCAGGATCCTGGGTCCAGATTCAGCGTTGCCCTGCCCCACACAGGGCCACCCAAGAGCCTCCCGGGGAAGGCAGTGCGCTCTGAGCCACCCGCGCCTGCGCCCGCAGCCCTGGAGCCCGCCCCCGTGGTAGCGCTGGTGCTGGCGGCCTTCGTTCTGGGCGCTATGCTGACTGCCGGGCTCGGCCTCGTGTGCGCGCACTCAGGTACCGACCTCTGCCTGCCGGGTCCATCCCCTCGCGTTCTGGAGTCTGTAGACTCAAAGTAGACCCAGAGTCGCTACGATCCCAGCATGCTGGAACTGCCCATCCCTAGACCAGACTCAAGGTAACCTGCAGGGGGCGCGCTGATCCCAGCGCAGCACTCCATCACAGCCACACTCCCTTCCAGCGCCCGGACCCCCCAGCCAGCCGGCCAGGGCTTCGCCCAGCGGTCCCCAGCCGCGGAGGCCCCAGTGAGGCAGGTAAGAAAGGGGTGGCGCGGGGTGGTCTGGAGCAAAAGCTGAGGCCACAGATGATGGTGAGGACTCTATAGCTTCACCCGCATGCTAGGAACGTGCTGAATGATGTTACACACATAATCCTAACAGCCTACAACTAGACACTTATAATCCCCTGGAGAGGAGAAAAATAGAGGCTCTCCGTCAGTGTTCTTGTCAAAGGTCAAAACAGAGCCAGGAGCGATGCTGCAGGCCTGTGACTGTGGTACTTGGGAAGCTGAGCAGGAGAATTTCCAAGCGTTTGAGGCCAGCCTGGGCTACATAGTGAGTTCAAAGCCAGCCTGAACTGCATAGTGAGACACTCTCTCAAAACAACAAAAAACCTGTCATATTTGGTTAGTGGGACTCGAAATCAGGGACTAGGGTCAGCCTCAGATATAAGGCTTTAAACCTCAACCAGGCACTAGCTAGGTGAGAATCTGAAGACCCATTTCCCCCTCTCATCCTGGCATAGACTGATGAAAGCTCCCCGCCCCCCCGGAAGGCTGGGAAGGCAGGGAAGGCAGAATCCTGCCTACTCTCCCCTCCCTTCCCAGCAGTGGCAAACCCCCACAGGACTGAGATGCAGCAGCCAAGCCGTGGCTTCAGACCAGGCGGGCCAGGACCGGGCTCACTGCCTTGGAGGCCACACTCTGAGAACACAACCCCTTCCTCCCTTTCCACCATCTCACCTGGGCTCAAAATAAACCTCTGGACTAAGCCCGCTACGTTCTGGTGGAGTCAGTGTGTGATGGCATGGGTGGGGATGCTCAGCAGAGTTCCTGGGAGCATGAGGTGGGGGACCTTGGGGCTGGGAAAGGTGTGGGCTGGAGGGCTAGGCCTTGGGGATGGCCTGCTAGCCCATAGCTCAGCGGCATTTTGTCCCAAAGTGATGCCCAATCCTGCCCCTTTAAATTTAAAGTTAGGGGCTGGGATATAGCTCAGGGGCATAGTGCCTTCTTGATAAGCACCAGGTTGTGAGTTCAAGACCTGGTGTGTGTATGTGTGTGTGTGGGGTGTCTGCTTCACTTGTGCTGCCAGTCTGTTTTTTGTTTTTCTTCTTTTTCCTTTGGAACCAGGAATCCAAACTCAGGCACTGTGTGGATGAGTGACATCCGCAGTGCCTCGCCTTTATTTCTCCAGAGGTGACTCCCTTCCTTCCTGCCTCTCCCCACTCCTGCACCAGCCAACCTGCCTCATCCCCCTTCCACAAGCCTGGCTTCTCTGATGACCATTTCCTGCCTTCCTCAGGCCCCTCTGTCCTCAGGTGTCCCCACTGATCTGATACTGCTACACTCCTGTCTTCTTGCCTCATCTAGTAGTCCCTTAAATCCCTCCTTGCCTAGCATAGTGGTACACACCTGTAATCCCAGCATTCAGGAGGCAGGAGGACCACCATGAGTTCGAGGCCAGCCTGGGCTACACGTGGCATCAAAGCCAGACAGAACTGTGTAAGGGAGACGCTGTCTAAACAACCCAAGCAAACAGATCCCTTCTGCCTGAGCTCCTCTCTGCTGTGTGCACAGGCAGGAGACCACAACCCCCTTTATAGAGGAGGAACCTGCAACTTGGCAAGGTTAAATCACTTGCCCAAGGTCGCCAGGGCTCTGTGACCGCAGGGCTCAGGCTCCTGACCAGGGCTGGAAATCTGTCTTTAAAAAGCAGAGCACACAAGGGCCAGCGAAATAGCTCAGTGGACTGAGCACTTGCTTAAGGCAAGTACAGGGACAGGGCTTTAATCCCTGGCACCACATGCCGCGCTAGCCCCACCTCCGGCACTGGGGAGGCTGAAACAGGATCACTACCGAGCTGTGAGACCCTATTTTTTTTTTTTTTTAAAGCAGAGCACACAGTAAGACTTTCATGAGACAGCCGGGCATGTGGGCTGAGCAAGAGATGGAAGGTCAGTTCCAGCTCATTAATGAGATACAACGCAGGCCGAGGGGGGGTCTCATGCGCCCTGCTTCACTAGCGCTGCCAGTCTCCCTGTTACTTTTTCCCCCCTCTTTTTTTTTTTTTTTTAAATCAGGAATCTGAATTCGGGACCCTGCGCTTGCCAGGCAGGCGCCATGTGGATGAACTATATCCCTAGTTCCTCCCCTTTATTTCTACGGAGCTGACTCCTTTCTGTCTACAAAGGCAAAGGCAGAAGCACAAGCGCGAAAGCCACGCCCTCCTCTGCTTCTGCCTTCGCACTGTGCTTACTGGCCTCGGCAGCTTCCGTAGCTCCGCCTATCAGGGAAGCGGCGCGAGACCAACGGCGCCTCTTGAAAGCAGCATGAAGCCACCGCAGCGGCGGCGGTCGGCCCCGGCGCGCTATCTAGGTGAGGTAACCGGCCCTGTGCCCTGGAGCCTTCGTGAGAAGCGCCAGCTACTGCGACTACTGATGACGCGGCGGGGCCAGCCGGAGCCCAGCGCAGCCGAGTTGGCCAGGGAGCTGTGGAGCCGGAGCGAGGCTGAGGTGAGCTGTGGGTCCGACCACAGAAGAGAGGCTGGGGGCGGGGCCTGCCGAGGAGTGGGCGCGGCTATGTGCACTGGGGGCGAGGTTGGGGCGGGGCCCCTAGAACCAACCAACGTCGGGAATGTGAGTGGGCGGGGCCATGGTGGGCGGAGCCACGTCGGCCGCCTTGGGCGGACTTGAGGATTAGGGTCGTACCGGGCGGGGGCGGGGAAGGCAGGGAGAGGCGACCTGAGCGTGACAGGCTCTGGGGCTGCGGACCCTGTGCTTTCTGGCCGGTGGGAGTGAGTAAAGAGAGACTTAGGAAGTGGGCGGAGTGGAAATGAGCTGGTTAGTTCGAAGCGTCTGGCCAATACCTCTTTGGGTAGTGGGTCACACCCTGCAGTCTATCTCCCACATCTCTGAGCTCACAGCTGGCTTCCCACTCTCCTCCCCAGATCCACGACTTCCTGCAGCACCTCAAAGGCCGAGTGGCCCGCGAGACCAGTCAGAGGGTGCATGCAGGTGGCCCTCAGGGTCCAAGGCGCTCACAGGCGCAGATCCTGGCCCCCATTGAGGTGAGGCGAGTGGGCAGGGGAAGGGAGGGGGTCTGCGGGTCGGGACCCCCAGAGGCCAGGGTTTGGGGGAACCCCGGGCTGCCCGTGTCCCTCTGGCTTCACCCAGGTGTGGACGGATCTAGCCAAGAAGATAACAGGCCCGCTGGAGGAACCTCTGACGGCAGCCTTCTCTCAGGTACAGCCCTCCCTGGGCAGGCCAGGGGGGCCCCAGGAGAGAGAGGGTTCTCGAAGTGGGCTGGGGGAGTCTGTCAGTGGTAGAGCACTTGCCTATTGTGCACAAGGCCCCGGGTTTGGACCCCACCACTGCAAAATCCCACATCCTAAAAAAACAACAACATTGTCCTCGGGTTCTTGCCAGCTCTGTGACCCTAAAACTAACCAGCCAGCCCTTAGACTCCTTGAGCCTTAGTGTCCCCGCCTGCCCATCACAGGGTGTCCAGAGGATTTGGTGAGAGTGGGAGGGCGCACTTTCTTTGCCTGAGGGCTGTACCTGTTTGTCTGCCAGGCGCTCACCATTGCAGCCACAGAACCCCTCAGTCTCCTGCGCTCCAAGCCCCCGAAGCCTACAAAAGCCCGAGAAAAGACACTGCTCTTGAGCGCCGCCAGAGGGCAGGAGGACCGCACCCCTGAGGCCTCGGGTCCTATCGCTGAGGTTCCTGGCCCCACACCCACCCTAGTGGCCTCTGGTCCCTCCCCTAATGTCTGTGACCTCTCCTTTGGCCCTACACCTGATGTCTCTGTGGTCCCTACCCCAGTGCCCTTTGGTTCTGTCCCTAAGGCTTCTGGCCCCGCCCCCGAGGTCCCCGGGCCTGCCCCTAATGTTTCTGGCCCCGTCCCTGAGACCCGAAGCTCTGCTCCTGAGGCACCTGCTGAGTCCCTGGCAGGCCTCCTCCCTGAGGGAGACTTCACCGTGGACTTCGAGAAAATCTACAAGTACCTGTCTTTCTCCTCCCGGAGTGGCCAGGGCCCAGAGCTCTCTGGAGCTGGTGAGAGGGATGGCGAGGGCAGGGAGTGCATGATGAATGGTCCCAGGCACCAGGTCATGCCCTCCACTCACTGCTGTCCCTTTCCTTTGTCACCAGAGTCAGCTGTGGTTCTTGACCTGCTCCTGTCACTCCCGGAGGAGCTGCCCCGCCTCCCCTGCACAGCCCTAGTTGAGTACTTGACCGAAACCTATGACCGCCTGATGGCCCCAGAGCCCAGCCCCTCTGGTGGGTGCCCTGGGCCCGGAGCTGAGAACGAGGGTACTGATGCCAGTGTGCGTGAGGAGCCCGGCCTGGCCTCGCCTGGGTCCCCTGAGCACAGTGTGCCAAGTGCATTGAGATCGAACTGGCAAGCAGCAGGTGTCTGCCCTCTGAACCCATTCCTCGTGCCCCTGGAGCTCCTGGGCCGGGCGGCCGCCCCTACAGTGTGAGGGCATGGCAGTGGCAGATGCAGAGCCCTGGACCCCAGGCTGGCACTGGATTGTTGAGGACAATCTTGAAGGTGGATGAAGGACCCAGTTGTCAGCTGCAGGTGCAGAACTTGGATGCTGCATGCAGGGGGTTGGGAAGTGGAACACCAGTGGTGCAGGCTTCCCAGGGGCAGCTGGGCAGCTGGGTCATAGGCCCGGGCATCAGGCGACAGATGGGCTGGTCCCCAAGCCCAGCTGTGATTGCTCTCTGCTTTTGGGGAGCAGAGCAGCACCCCCACGCACCTGTGCTTGGGCGTACCCCATCTTCTTTCACCTTTCTTGCACCTGGGGGCCCGCTGCAGCTGACTGCGCCTTGCCAGGCCCCTCCCGGACTCCCATCCATCATCTGGAATAAAGTTCTCTCTACTTTCCTTCTTCCTATGATCTAAAGGTTGGGAGGGTCATGGAGTGTCACAGCTTGGGGTCACAGAAGCAAAAATTGCTCCTTGGAATGTCTTTGATTTGGTTATGAATGTCCTTTGACTGGTTGGCAAGGGAAGAGTAGAGCCGGGCACAGCTGGCAGGGACAGATGTCAGACAGGTTTTCAGAGCGGGCCAACACACACTAAGGCGGAAGGCAGAAGCCAGTAGAGATGGAGGCCACCAGATGGGAGAAGCCAGAGCCAGGCTCGAAGAAGGATGGGGGAGGGGCAGCAGGAAGCTGAAGGGTCCCAAACCCCTAGAAGTGGGGACAACGAAGGCAGAGCCAGGTAGGGTGCCAAGTCCTGGGTCCCCAAGGCCCCATATTCCTGGGGCTGCTGCCAGGCTTCCGGGCATGGAGTCGGAGGCAGGTCTGAGACCAGGGCTCTTGGCAAGCCGCATGTCTTCCCACGGCCCGCCTTCCCCCCGGCCTAACTAGTCGTTTGAGGGTAAATTCTGTCCCCAGCCAGCGCCTTCACACAGCTTTCCTTTTATAGAAACGCTCGCTTCTCCCCACACGTTGCACACGGCTCCTCTGGGGCACACAACACATCTCCCGGGCTGGCGGTGGAGTGCAGCCAGCCCACACCGTGCTCGCGGCGCGCAGTGCCAGAACCACAGGTGCCAGGGCGCACGCAAGGATGGGCGCGGGAAGTCGGGCTCTTGGAGTCAGTCTATTCCAGTCCCCACAGCCCGCAGCGCACCTCAGGTCAAGGCAAATGGGAGCGGGGAGTCTCAGCTCGTGTAGAATGGGGTGGGTGGGGGTGATCAGCTACCCCCACAGAGCTGGTCGACAGTGCGCACGCACTGGGCAGTGGTCAGAAGCCAGGCCTGCACCCATTTCCAACTAAACAGTAGCCCTGCTCCTAAGGGCACGTCGTTACAGCCGCCCAGACCTCAGTTCCCTTGGCCTGTGATACGGGGACACTCAAGGGGCCTGGCTCATTTCCCCATCCCAAAGAGGAAACAGGCAATGAAGAGGGGTGCAACCTCAGGACACTGCTTGGCATGCAGTAAGCGCTCAATAGTAGCTTTTATTATCACCACCAACACGATCATCACTTAGAGACAGGGCGAAGGGGAGCGGAGGGGTGTGGGTATAGCTGGGGAGGTGGTGGGGCCCATGGAAGCAGAGGTGTGCCTGACCTGGGGGCAGAAGGCACCGCGCGTCTTGGGGGCACAGCAGCCACGGTCGCTCTTCGGGGTCCGGGTCTCAGGTAGGATGTGTAGGGCATTATTGGATGCAGAGTCCTGCCCAGCAGGACGCAAAAACAGGCTCAACACTCAGCCATGGAGACGAAAATGGGAAAGAGGAAAGAGGGGGAGATAGCACGTATCCACTCCCAAGAAAGGATGCACGGCACTCATGCCTGGCACAGGACAACAGCAGAGCCACTTAGAAGCTGGGGTGCAGGGTCGGGGCTCAGAGTGTGCACAGAGGAAGGGAAGGGCCTGACAAAGGCACGAGGTGGGGCTCAGGCCCGGCCGGGGGGAGATGGGCGGGCCGAAGGGGCTGGGGTGGGCCAGCTCCTAAAGCCGCCCGCCCGGGTTGGGGCAGGGCGGGTCCTGAGCGCAGACCCCGGCCCGTCACACCAGCGCGTAGTCGAACTGCCCGCGCTCCAGCGCCTCCTTGTGGTCGGTCCAGGATGAGGCGGGCATGCGGCTGTAGGGGTCCAGCAGGATGCGCACGCAGCGCACCATCAGCAGCACCAGCACCACGAGCAGGCAGAGCACGAAAGCGAACACCGTGCGCTGCTCCGCGTCCAGGCCCGCACCCACCGGGGGCCCTGTCGACGGCGGCAGCGGCTCCGGCGACAGCGTCCACGTCGCACTCATGGTTCACATTGCCGCACGCCCTGCAGAGGAGTAAGGGGCCGTCCGGGCGGGAGGCTGAGGCGTCGCCCCTTCCTTCCTGTGAGCCCCGCATAACCCGCACCACCCGCACCACCGTCCCCCTCCCTGGGCGACGCCCATGCCCGGCCCGCGTGCTCGCAGCCACTGTCACGCAGGGACCAACTCCGGCTGTGCGGGCGGGCGGGGGGCGCTGAGCCAGCCCGAGAGCCCCAACCGCCCGGCCCGCGTCCAACAGGTGCGAGCGCGCGGCCCGCTGCCAGGCGGCACGGCCAGGTCGGGTCCCGGCGGCCCCCAACTCGCGCGCACCCTTTGTTCCCGGTCGTCCGCCCCTTCCCCCACCGCACCGCCCCCGCTCTGGCCCCGGCGCGCCCCTCACTCTGGCCTGCACCGCACGCCGACGGGCTGCCTGGCGGCCGCGCTCCCCTCAAGACCGTGATGGCTTCACGCTCGGCCTCTCTGCAGGATGGCAGCGGCAGCGGCGGGCCTGGTTCAGCCCACCCCACCCGCCCCTGGAAGCAGCGCAGACCGAGGCGGGCGAGGCGCGCGCCAGCCCGGGCCGCCGCGGCTGTTCCCATGGTGACGGGGGCGGGGCCGCGAAGGGGCGGGGCCGCGAGGGGGCGGAGGCTGTGCAGGGAGCGACCCAGCCCTAGCGCAAACTGGCAGAGCCCACGCCCCAGCACCTGCGACCGACACAGGGGTGCTCCACAAGTACCAAGGGGTTCACCAAGGCTGCCATTCCCCCGCTACCAGCGCCTCGTACGCCCTCGGGCTGACCTCCGAGCCGCACGCCCATTCTCGGCGCCAGACCCCTTACCCACTTCCTGAACACTGTTCACGTGGGTGTCCAGGCTACCCCAGCCCAGAGGACCCTCACTCCAAAACACCCTTAGGCAGCACCCCCGGGCAGATCCCTACTTGTTGGTCTCCTCCCAGCCCCCTGGCAGGGTCCCGGCCGGAGGAAGGCGCCCCCCCCCCCAGCTGGGCTGTGCGTCCAGCTGACCTTGCCAGCTGGCCCCGCCCACCGCCCCCTGGACGCACATCAGACCACTTCACACAGCCTGGCTGTCTGCACTTTGGTGTTTATTACTCCCAAATCTCAGGCTTACAGGAAGTAAGAGCACTGAAAATAAAAACGTCCTAGAATGGCCTGCTAAGGCTCGCCTGCCACCAGCCTGCCCCGCCCCACCCGGGGAAGTCCTGAGGCTGGGGCCTCTGGCACTGTGTGGCCATCGCCTTGGTGTCCCCGCAGCCCTGTGCAGAGCCTCTGTCCCTGCTACCGGGCACCCTCAGCAGCCCGGCGCCTTCCTCAGCCAGCTGGCTTGGTGGCTGCCACGGAGGACAGTCCTGTCCCCAGAGGTCTGGAGTCGCTGCGGGTGGTGCCCGTGGGCACCTGCCCCACCACAGACCAGCCCTGGAGCTCCTGGTAGGGCCGCTGCCTCAGAGGATCTGCTCAGTGCTGGAGGCAGAGATGTCCAGGAGGCGCCAGGCTGCGTAGGGGTTGAGCTCCTCCTGGTCCCGGCACAGCGCCCACACGTACAGCATGCGCAGCACCTTATCCTGGGGAGACGCGGGGAGGGTAAGTGGCTGTGCTGGGAGGTGGGGCTTGAGCCGGGGCCTCCAGCGCGGGGCAGGGTCCTCATGCAGTCCTCCTACCTCTGCCTAAGTGCTGGGAACACAAGTTTACACCAGGCTGGGACCAAGGGTGTCTACATGGCAGGGGGACTCCAGAGCTCTGGGAGGGATAGGGGCCTAGATGCCTGGCAAAGTCCCCCTAGGTCACTACTCTGGACTTGGTAGAACTACACAGGGTGGCTGGTCTCTGCATCCCTGGCTCTGAGGTGGGTCGCCCACTCACCGGGTCGCCCTCGACCACCTCTCCCTTGGGGTTCCGGATCACCATCACCAGCTGGGCCTGGAAGGTGATGATCAGCACCGGGCCCTGCTCCATCATCTTGCCCATGGCCAGCTGCAGGACAGTGGGCGAGGACATCATATCAGGGCAGCCCCGGAGGTGGACACCCAGGGCCGCATCAGGGTGGGCCAGGCAATGGCACAGCTGTGCTGCCACGCCTGGCTAGAGCCTGCCCTCTGTTACTAAGTGGCCACCTCTGGTGCCCTCCCTCCTAGTCACCCCCCAGACACTCACGTCGATGTTGTCAATGTCAAGGATGTGGGAGTGGAACTGGAGGCCCAGGGCCTTGGCCTGCTGGATGGGGTGGGCCAGCTGGCTGTATGTCTGCAAGGAGAGGCCATGGGCTGGGTGGGCAGCTGGGCGGCCAGGCCCGCACTCGACTCCCCACGCCGCTGGCACCCGCCCCCAAATCCCGGCGCCTGGGAGTGCAGTGCCAGCAGCAGCTGCAGCAGCCGCCAAGAGCTCCGGGCCAAGTACAGGGCAGGCGCCACCCGGCTGCCGGCCTGGGCTGCACATTAGCTTCTCATTATGGGAAGAGCAAGAGCCGGCAATGGGCCGCGCTAGCACCAAGTGGTGTCAATGGGCCGAACAGGGCTGTGCAGGCCCTGGCTGACCTTTGGTGCCATGTCTGCCTCCTGTGAGGCCCTGAACTGGAACCCAGCACCTTTTCTAGGCTGTCCTCACCTTGTCTCAGAGCCCACCCCAGCAACACCCTCTAGCACGCTGTCCCCAAGCGCAGGCACGGGGCAGGAGCAGCCTCACAGGATTTCAGTGTCCCCTCTCTGGGACTGAAAAGGCACTGTGGATGGGAGATACTTTCTCAGAACAGCGACTGTAGAAATCACTCATCCACCAAAAATAAATCCAAGAGCCAGTCTTGCTCTTTTTCCTTTATGGTTCTAGGGATCAAACCCTGAGCTTCACCACACTGAGCTACCTCCTGGCCCTTACGTTTCTTTTACATTTTGAGACGGGAATCTCAAATTCGTGATCCTCCTCTCTCAGCCTCCCAGATAGCTGGCATGACAGGCAGGCGCCACCATACCTAACTCACCTCTGTTCAGGGGTTCAGGGTCTCACTACTAGATCACACTCACAGTAATCTGCCTGTTTATAGCCTCCCAAAAGCTGGGATTACAGGCACGCGCCATCACACCCAGGCTCAATTGCTGTCTCAGCGGCCCGGGAGTGGCCCACACAGCAGGCCCGGGATCAAACCCCCACCCCTGCTTGCAGGAGTTTTAATCTGCTGAGCTATTTGGCCAGCCCTTAAGCCCAAGGCCTTCACACTCAATTACATCCCTAGCCTCTTTCAAAATTGTACGTCTTGAGGCCCTGTCTTCCTAAGCTGCCCAGGCTGGGCTGAACTTGCCATCTTGCTGCTCTGGCCTCCCGGAGCACTAGAATTGCAGTGGTCAATTTCAAGAACACCTCAGCGGAAGCAGCCTTCAGCTGCATTTCTAGGGGTACCAGCAGCTCTGGCAAAGATGACCAGCCACGGCTTAATGGTGGCACCAAAGAAAGAAAAGAAACAGGACACAACACAACTCATAAATGCCTGCTGGATTAGTCACCATGCTGGAGAGCATTTAAAAAGAAAATCTGACAGAATCTTCTCTGCTTTTTCCAAGTTGTTAGCAGTGCGTGCGATAGAAAGAGCCAAAAAAAGGCTCTGGCTGTTTCACGCAAAGAAGCTGGGCAGAGAGAAAAACAGCGCTGCAGGGAGCGGCTCGGGTGGAGCGCAGCGCAAGGCACGGGGCCAGGCTCCGCGGGGACAGGGAGGCTGCCAGGAACAGGCCCGGGGCAGACGCCTGCCGGCCACCTCACACAACAGCTCTTGCAGTGCGTGGCTCAGAGAACTGAGCCCAGCTCTGTCACCACTCGACTCGTCACAGGACTCCAGGAAGCAGCCATGGTCCCGTCAGGACATGCGCTGCTCTCCTGGGCCGGCTGGCGGAGGAGGCCACAGGCTGCTCTGATCCGTGCTTCAGGATCTGGCAAGAACAGCTCCGGGGTCAGTGTACCTTTTGCCTCTGCATGCAGCTCACCCTCAGCAACCCCATACCACAGGCATGGAGGTGCGATGCTGGCTTGGGGACACAGGGTGGACCACGCTCAGTCCCCAGGAAGAAATGGTACCCCGTCCTCACCCCCACGGTTACACGCTGACCCTGCCTCCCTCTCCCTGGCCTGACCCCAAGCTGTCTGTACCACAATATCCCTATTCCCTGTGGCCACCTGCACCAGAGCAGAAGTCACCCCAGAAACCTCACCTTCCTCTGAGCTTGAACCCTTTCCCCCTGTGACATTCCTTGACTAAAGCTATTTTAAGGTGAGGCGCTTCGGGGAGGAACACCCAGGAAAACGTGCAGCTCTGTGATCCTGAGCTGTCCCTTCGGTACGACTGAGGGGAGGGATCTTATTTTTGGCAGTGCTGGGGATGCCTCCCAGGCTGCACGCACACCGGGTGCATGCCGTAGTTTTGAGCTGAGGTCTGAAGCTGGGCTAACGGGTGGTATTTCTGGCTGGGGTGTTATCTCTGGAAGCAGAGGACCGGCTGTGTGCCCACAAGCACACACAAAGGTACCACGGGCTGACCGGGTAGGGGGACTATGGGATGCTGGGGCTCACCCCCACCCCACCCTCAGAGCACGCCCGAGAATCCTATCTGTGACTGGTGCTGGTGCCAGGGATGGAGGCCTGGCGCCCAGCGTGCATTAGGCATGCCTGTGCTGTGACACCCCCAGCCCTTCTGGGATTCTTTTTTTTTTTTTGGTGGAAAAAAGAAAGAGAAAAACAGTACTCACAGCTTCATAGCACCAGTCTTTGAGAATATCGAGCTCTCCAGAAATCATGGCCTAAAAAGGAAAAGCAGAAAGACTAAGTGGGAGAAGGAGAGTAGGCTTGGAGGCAGGAGAAATGGGGCAAGGGCTCCTTTCCCGAGCCCCTGGTTCTGGGCCAGGAGGCATGGGGGGGTAGGGGGTGGGGAAAGAGATGCCGCAGCACTGGGCTGGGAGCAGGATGCACACCTTGCCCTGAGCCAACGCGGGATCCCAACCTTGGAGCCTGATTCTGGCTCTTGGGGCCCCACGTGCCCTGCCTTCCTGGGGACAAGGGCCTGGAGGGCAGAACCAAGATAGCTCGTCAGCACAGGGGGTGTGGGATGCACGCACAGAGTCAGGGACGTGGCTGCTCTAGGAAGGGTGACAGGAGTCAGGAGAAGGGCAGAGGGCAGGAAGGAGCCAGAGCCCATGGGGAAAACTGGCCAAGCCAGGGCTGGTAATGCATCCAGGCCTGGGGTAGCTGAGCAAGACTCCCAACACTCACAAGCCACAGGGGAACAGGGTCGTTGACCCTAGATATCTGGGTTGCCAGTGACAGTGCCCTCCCCAACTCAGAGCACTGCCCCCAATGCCAGAAAGGCTCCAGCTCCCAATGACCAGCCCAGGGCCAGCGCTGCAGGCAGGCGGGGAGTATGAGGGCCCAGACCAGGCCATTCCAGGCAGCAGCTGCCTGAGTACATGGGAAGAGGAGTCACTGCGGTCAATGGCCACGGAAGGGGAGATGCCCCAGAACGCTGGCCCAGCACGCCCAGGCCACGGAGCCCTCCCAGCACCAGGGGAAGAAACAAGAAAGAACCTCCAGAGCCCCCTCGCCGAGCCGATGCCTATGCGCGGGGCTGGGAAGTCTGTGAAAGGCATGGGCACAGCCCATGGGGCAGCTGCAGCCAGGTGAGGAGCCAGGAGTGGTGCTGTGTGCTGGGGAGACATCCCTGGGGAGGGGGCCTGCAGGGCTCAGCTGGCACCTCCAGGACGTTGGGGATGATGTCACTCTCGCACTGCTTCAGGAACCGGTCTTTGTCAAAAGCTGGGTCCACACGCAGGATCTCAGTGAGCACCTCCGACATTTCCGTCTTGGAGAACAGGCCCCCTGCACAGCCAAGGCCTGGTGAGTCTAGGGCCCACGTCCCCTCCCAGCACCTCCCAGACAGTATGGGGCAGCCCTGGGACAGCACTGACCGAGCACATCGGTGACCCTGTCAGTCAGGGCCCGCGACGCCCGAATAAGCACATTATCACTCTCATCATACTTCATCTTCATCTCGAAGAAGCCTGCAAGGTGGGGGCAGGTGCTGGAGGAAGGAGGGCCCCTCTTGGAGGCTGTCTGACTCCACAGCCTCCTGGGGCTCCTGTGGGCCTGCGAGACCCACCCAAGGGGGCTGGCCCAAGTGGAGACCCTGAGCTACTTCCTCCTCTGTGCGGGGGACACTGCCTGCCCACCTACCTGGCGAGGCCGCAGACACCCTGGGCCGTGGCCCCAAGGAGGCTGTGCAAATTACGGGGTGCCCCACTGGCTGTTGCTGCCACTACAAAGGAAACACAGGCCTCTAGTGGTACTCCGGGGACAAGGGACAGGGCGTGTAGCCTGTCCTCCTAGCACCCACCCAGCCACAGGGCCTCGGGCTGTCTGTGCCTCTACCAGCTCCAATGGTCCTAGTGCCCCAATGTCCTAGGAGGGAGCCACTGCCTGGCACCTTTGTGGCAGAATCTACAGCCATCAGCAGGTGGCCCCAAGGGGGTTAATGGCTCTTCTAGACCCTCATTTCCTCTTCTATGAAGTGGAGACCCGTCCAGGGGCCCGAGAACAGCGAGGCAGCTACACTCACGGTTGAATACCACATTGTTGTCCCTGAAGTCCTTCCACTGCTGGTACCACTTGGAGTCCTTGTGCAGCACAACCCCCAGGGCCTCCCTGGAAGATGGTGGGCATGAGGCACAGCCCCTGAGCCCAGGGCCCTGCCACCTCCCGTTCCAGTGTGGGGTGCAGGAGCCTACGCATTGGGTTCAAACACTTTCTCTTCTTTGAACTTCTCTCCTGCGAACTCTGTCCTCTTCCTGAGCCGCTCAGGCCTGCGGTAGGGCCCTGTCTGCCCCAGCACGCTCTCATCGATCTCTTTCCTCACGGACTCCACGCCCTGCCGGACAGCAGTCGCCTGGGTGTCCAGCCCGGCCCACCATGACTCTGTCCCCAACCTGGCCCACTCACCTGGGATATGGCCTTGAAGGCCGCCGTCCTGCCCAGCTTCTCCCCGCCCTTGGACACGGACTCAGCCGACTGCTTGGCCGTCTTGGCAGCCTCCTCTACCCCCTCCTTGATCTTCCTGCCCAAGTCGCTCTTACTGACTTCGTCGAGACTCTACTGAGACAAGATGAAAGGTGGTGCTCGCCCACACAGCACCCTAGAGCAGAGGGCGCCCCTGGAGATCACTGCACTTGATTTCAGGGGCACTGGAGCCCCAGGTCAGGACTGGAACTGCCTATCGCCAGCACTGCCGGGTGCGGACAGGGGTGGGTCTGTCCGAAGCAGCCTCCCTTCTGTTTAGGACACACTCTTGCTGTGTAGCCCAGGCCAGCCTTCGACCTGTGGTGCTCCTCACACCTCAGCCTCCTAGTGCTGAGCACTGAGATGACAGGCGTGTCATCACCACACCGGGCTTCTCTGCGCCCTGCAAGAGCCTCACACGGGCCACCCTCCCTTGACTGAGGAAGATGCGGCTCCTCTCCTTCTGTTTTTGACCAAGAATAAAAAATCCTCTTTCGCTTTGTGTGGTGCACAAGACAGAAGCCAGTGCGCAAGTGCTCCCCATAAGCCGCATCGCAGCCCCAGCGCATCGCCGCCCTTCCGCGAGGGCACAGTCTGACTGGCCAGGTCTGACCTCCCTGCACGACTCCCAGTGTCTTGCTTCCTGCACCTCCCAGGTAGGTCCAACCCTGCAGAGCCAATGTCTCTGTCCCCAGTGACCCCAGCCATGCCCGACCATTACCTCCTTCACCGTCCCTGTGAGCTGCCCCAGCTTCTTCCTGATCACCTCGCTGGTGCGCACTGTCTCCGACTCAATGGTTTTCTGAAGTGAAGAGCATCGTTTCTTCCCTCAGACAAGGCCGGAGACCCAGAACCCCAAGTGCCAGCAGGTGGAGGTCTCCCAGCAGCTCCGCCTACGAAGAGGCTCCTGCGGCCCCCATGCACCTTTATCTCGGACCTCACTCTGCCTAGCCCGGGCCACTCAGTTGCACTTTTGTTGTTTTGTAAGTAGCAGTCTGGCCTCAAGGATGTGTTGATCCTCCTGCCTCAGCCTCCTCAGTGTTGGGACAAGCATGACCTGGCTTGCAGGACAGGTGGCTTGCAATCCTACCTTGACCCCACCCAGCCTTGCCCCACTGGCCCTCAAAGACCTCTTGCTTAACGTTGGGCACTTGGAGGGCAAGGCCTCGCCTGGTGCCCAGCAACACCGGGCAGCACTGGGTACGCAGTGGAGCTGCGGTTTCCACAGGGCCCTTAGATGGCGCACATAAAACGGCTGCCAAGCCTGGTCCAGAGGAGACTGTGGGAGCAATGAGTCACGCTGGCCCCGTGGCCCACTTCCAGCACCGCAGCTCCGCTGAGGAGTGGGCGTTATCTGGTGCTGATATGGACCCAGTGGACCTGGAGGCCGAGACCCCTCGCAGCCCACAGGGAGGCCTGGCCCACCACCTCTGGGTCCCCGCTGCTATCTTGGCGCTGCTGTACCTGCACCCCCAGGCTGCCCTGGCCCAGGAAGGCCACCAGAACCAGGTTCTGGGGGTGGGGGGGGGGGCAGGCGCACTCACGTATTTCCTCCGAGCTTCCTGGAGTGCATCGGACTCTTCCAGCTTCTTGGCCTCATCTCGGAATTTTTTAATGCTTTCCTTCATCTCTTTGTTTTTGGCTAATTCTTGTTTGATGTTGTCAAGTAAGCCAGACAGAAAGCCTTTTCTGTTTCCGGAAGAATATGATTTGGACTAGAAAGGGTGTGAATGAAAAGAATCAGAGAAGATACTCGGGGACACCCGGGAAACACCTGCTACTCGGCGGGACTACCAAGGATGCTGAACTTCATTCCTGCTGCTGATGCAGGGTACAGAGTGGCTGGTTCCTTTATTACCCAAACAGAGCATGCACTAGGGAAGCACCCACTGGCAAAATGCGCAACAGCCCTTTACACTGAGCTACATCCCTAGCCCTTGTAATTTTTGAGAAAGGGCCTCACTACATTTCCCAAGCTCAAACTTGTTACTCAGCCTCCCACAGTGCCGAGATTACAGGTGTGGGCCGCAACGCTGGCTACAGTCAGTGCTCCGTGTCCTCAGGTTTCACATCCTGGGATTCAACCAAGCACAAACTGGAAATGAGGGGAAGAGTCATACACTGGGTGTGATGGCATGCACATCTGCAATCGGCAGTGCTCAGCCGGCTGAGGCAGGAGGGTCGCCATAAGTTTGAGGCCACCTTGCTGTACATACTAAGACCCTATCTTAAAAAATACCTCCCCAAATTGGTCCACTCTAAGCATATACAATCTTTTCCCTTGTTATTTCCTAAAAAATACTGCGTAACAATATTCAAAATGCATTCATACTGTATGAATATGAATTATGGGAAGATATGTTTGGGTTGTATGCAAAGACTAAACTCTTGTGGGTTTTTTGTTTTTTGAGATAAGGTCTTGCTATGCAGCCCAGGCTGGCCTTGAATTCATGGTGATCCTCCTGCCTCAGCCTCCTGAGTGCTGGGCTGACAGGTGCGCGCCACCAGGCCTGGCTAAAACTACACTGTTGTGTACCGAGTACCTGGGCATTAGGAGCAGATCCTGGATCTGCTGTCCAAGGGACACTTAATATCCTGCCAATGGGAGTATGATTCAGCAATGAAGAGAAAAGAACTCTGAAGCCACAGAAGAACTTTTAATGCATATCACTAACTAAAGAAATCACTAAGAAGAGGCTACATGTTGCATGATTCCAACTACTGAACATTCTGGAAAATCCAAAAAATGAGAGACACAGGGGCCGGTGAGATAGCTCAGTGGTCTGAAGCGTCTGCTTAGGCAGCTAAGGCAAGGGTGGGGCAGCACGACATGCCACGTCAGCCCCCGCCCCCTAGGGAGGGCTGAGCTGGCCACAAAAAAATAAAGAAATAAAACAACCAAAAGACAGTAAGGTGAGTCAGGGGCAGGGAGATGGCTCAGTAGAGTAAGTGCTTGCCTGGCAAGCAAAAGAGCCTGAGTTCAATCCCTGGTTCCGCAAAAAAAAAAAAAAAAAAAAAAAGGTGAGTGGCTGCCAGGGGTTGGGGAAGGAGGACAACTGCTGGTACACCAGGCACCATTCAGGCAGTGAACTACTCCGCATGCATCTGTACCCTCCTTCCTCACTCGCAAAAACCCGCCAAGTGACAACACCAGGGTCAGGACATCCTGAGGTACTCAGGGATTCTACTAGTAACACTGTGTCAGTGTTGGCTCATCTACTCTAACAAAGCCTTCCCTGTGTCCAGACCCCAACAGAAAGGAGACCTGAACTTTCTGTTCAATTTTTCTATAAATTTAAGCTTGTTCTAAAATGCCTATAGGGCTGGCCAAATAGCTCAGCACATTAAAGCATGTGCAAGCAGGTGCAGGGGCTGGGGTTTGATCCCCAGGACTGGCGTGCCAGCCCCACCCCAGGGTGCACTGAGATGGCAGTTGAGACTAGGCATGGTGGCGCATGCCTATAATCCCAGCACTTGGGAGGGCGTAAGCAGGAGAATCACTACGAGTCTGATCTAACAACCAATCAAACAAAAATACAAATAACTGAGATTTTGAATTTTAAGAGGAAGAAATGATCTGTGTCTGAGGTTACAGACATGCTAATGACCCAGATCTATCATTGTATGTTGTATATGTACAGTGAGATGTCACTCTTTACCCCTTAAATATATACATTCAATTATGTGTTCGTTCACAATAACATAGACACGTTAAGAAAAAAAGACTCAGGGTCAGATCAAACTAAACTCAAATCTTTAATTCATCATATGTGAGATGAAAATTGTCAACTTAAAAAAAGAGATAGAAACTGTGTACAGGGCACAGGCCTGTAATCCCAGAGCTTGGGAGGCTGAGACAGAAGGCTCACCAATTTGATGCTAGCAGGGGCTATGTAATGAGTTCAAGGCCAGCCTGAGCCACACGGTGCGATCCTATGTCAAAAATGTAAAAAGAGCGAGCAAGCAAGCAAAAGAGCGAGAAAGAGCACTTGCAGAACAACTAAGACAATCAAGTCATTTAGAAGCAATCAGGGGAGGTTCTTTGGTTCTTTACCAGCATCTAGGGTAACTGCCTCTCTGGCCATAAGGGACAACAGCACCAGGGTGCCATTCCTCAGGAGGGGTCTCCAGGCCTCCTGCCAACTGGCAGCAGGCCCCTCACTGCCCACCCTGAGCCAGCCTTTCTCCAGGAAAAGGCCAGGTGCTAAGACCATCAAGAGTTCTGTCAGGGACCTGGGAGATGGCTCAGTAGAATAAGTGCTGGCCTGGAAAGCGCAAGGGCCTAAGTTCAATCCCCATATCTGGGAAAATAAAAAAAAGAGTTCTGTCAGGGGCTAGTGAGATAGCTCAGTGTACTAAGCACCTGCTTAGGCAAGCACAGGGACCAGGCTTTGATCCCCAGCACCACGTGCTGCGCTGGCTCCATCCCGGGCACACTGAGCTGGCCACCGAGACTGGGCGTGGTGGCGCAGGCCTGTAGTCTCTGTGCTGGGGAGGCTGAAAACAAGTGGATCACTACAAGTCTGACCTGCATAGTGAGAGCCTGTACCAAACACATTAAAAAAAAAAAAAAGAAAGAAAAGAAAAAAAAGTTCTGTCCCTCACACCAGTCCTGCCACACTCTGGGGCTGCAAACCAAGGATGACAGGACGGGACAACCAAGGGAAAGCACCCCAGGACCTGATCCACACCCACAACAGCCCCAGGACAGGACGCAGAGGTGTTCAGCTGCCTGCAAGGGCAGTGGAGGAGGGGACATGGGTTGCTCCAACCCGCCATTTCAGGGTTTCCTACGTACCCCTCTCTGAAGGCCCTGGATGTAGAAGGCCCATTTGAGAGGCCCTGGGCAGCATGACCAATCATCTCAACCCTGCCTGGCCCCTCCCGGGTCTCCTGCTTGCCTCTGGGCCACTCACCAATAGCAGCTCTCCACCTGGCCAGAGTATCCGATAGGCTGCACCACGGGGCAGGCTGTGGTTGGAAAGTAACTGGATTCCAACCCCAAGGCATCTCTAGTAGAGAGAAAAGAAAAGGGTCCTCAAGCAAGAGGGTGACCAGCAGGATCAGGACGCTAAACCTAAGGCTCACTTTTAACTCATTTGCTCGATCAGATCTCGCTCCTGCTGTGTGCTAGGCAATCCGCCATCTTCCCAGTCTGAGAAGTCAGTGAAACCTGGTGGAAAAAGCGCCCCATCTGCACCTCTGGGGCCTATTCTTGCCTTCGAAAATGGGGTGGGGGATAGGAAACGTCCACCTGCCGGTGGGGCGCAGTCAGGCACAAGCCTCTCCCACGGTGACCAGGCTCCAAAAGCTACAAATCTGAGCATTCTGAAGCAGAGAGGCGACTACTGTCCCAAAGACAACCCTGGAACAAACTTGAAACGTTCAGGCCAAGCTCTGGGCAGCATGCAGAACGATTCGGAGCAGTCACCTTGGCAGTGACCCCGAGAAGCTCCTGTCAAAGGCACTACCTTCTACCAAACCGAGAACTTAAGAGCTCGGCCAATCCTGTGACTCTGTCCCGTGGCTCTCGGCCCAGGACCTCGTGCACTTAAGTCAAATGGCCTACGGGAATCACTCTTCCATTTTCTGGGCCCTTTCGCCCTTTCCCTATGCCAGCTCTGGGAACCACAAACAACACCCTAAACTTACACAGGCAGCACTACCACCTGTTTAACTGGAGGGTAAGTCTTGGAAGTGCAAACACAAACGGACCAAGAAAAAAAAACAAAAAAACCCAAACAAACCATGCATTCTGATTCAAAGACATCTACCTCCCATCATTCACCTTCCCGTGAGCTACCTTCCTTCCCCTTACGTCTGGCTCTGGAGTCAGGCTTATCCGGGCTTTGGTCCAGCTCTGGGGCTGTGTGCAAGTTGCTTAACCTTTCGGCTCCCAGTTTCCTAATCTGATGAAAGGGGGCCAAGCACCAGCAACACGCACTACTTTCCGAGTGTGTATCTCACACACGCTGAGCCCCCGCCACTCTTGGGCACCGAGAGCCCCGGCTCTCAGCCTCCCGCCCCTTCGCTCTGAGCGCCCGGGGAGGCGAGGCAGTCTACGCCTTCCGTGGAGGACACCCCATTTAAACGTGAGCTGTGACTGTCACGGGTACTTCCTCCACGGGGCACGGCCGGCCCAGCCACCCTGCCCTCGCCCGGATACGTGCAGTCTCTCCAGGCGGCAAGGGGTGCCGGGCTCCCCGCCAGGCGCCGCGCCACCGCGCCCCCAACTCTCCGCCCGGCGCGGCCCTGCCTCAGGCCTCACTACGTACTCCCCACCTCGTCCCAGCTGACCCAGTGCCCCAACCCCGTGCCTGCCGCGGAGGCCAAGCGAAGGGCCACGGAGCCAATAGCCTGAGGACACCGAGGAGGCCCGGGAGGCTGCGCGCCCACAGCCTCCGAAACGACCCCTGCCAGTCCCGCACTACGGCTCACCCGCGGACAGCGGCACCAGCCGCCGCGCAAGGTTGCCGCCGCCATGTCGGAAGACCCCGCACGACCTTCTCGCGGCGCCGCCTGATGACGTCAGCGGCCTCTTCTGCCTGGCGCGGAAAAGGTGCCCCGGAGGGGCGGGGTTCAGGGGAGGGAGAGATCTCTGATTGGGCAGAACTTATGGGAGCTTGGCTTTTGATAGGGCAGATTTGGAGATGAGCTGGGCTTATGATTGGGTATCATCTTAGCGGCGGGCTCTGCCACGAGGCTACGACCGGTGGTTGAGCGAGATTACGAAGCGACTGGGTCTGGCAGGAAGTGAGTTCAGCCCACACGCGCAGTATCGCGTGGCTAAAGTAGTCTGGAGGGACCACCGAGCTTTCTCGAAAGGTCGGGTTCAGCTGCGTTCTGACTTTGATGTGGATTGAACTCGAATGATCGACTCTATTGATAATGGCTGTGAGTGACCGGCAAGCAAGATGCTCCAAGAGGAAGAGTAGAGGAGCCCGCTGTTGCGCAGCAACTTTGCTGTTGGTTCTGGCCCTGAACAAGAAGTGGACGCTGCATCCAGGCTGGCTGTGGGCCCGTCCTCTGTCGCATCAGTGTAAACTGACACATGGCCCTCTAGTCTAGATTTGTTGCAGCGGGCTGCTGGTTTTCATTTGGCGGATGTCGCCTCCAAGTGGAGGTGCTTTGATCTGCAGTTGCATGTACTGATGATCCAGTGCCGTGGTTGTTTGCAGGACCTAATGATCACCTTCCTCCGGGGAAGGTAGTACATGGACGTAACACATCTTGAGTCTTTTTACTTCCTTCCCTCCCACAGTGAATTTTTTAAAAATTACTACATTAAAAGACACTGCCACAAGGCATAGTGGCGCATGCCTGTAATCCCAGCAGTGGAGAGACTGAGGCAGAGGGTCACCGTGAGTTCGAAGCCAGCATGGACTGGAGGGACCACCGAGCTTTCTCGAAAGGTCGGGTTCAGCTGCGTTCTGACTTTGATGTGGACTGAACTCGAATGATCAACTCTATTGATAATGGCTGTGAGTGACACCCCAGTCCAGCATGGACTAGAAAGAAAAAAGCGCATTCCCACTGATCTCACGCCAGATGCTCCCTTTGGCTTTGAAAACACATCCCGCTGTCTTTTACAGTAATATTTACAGTAATATAGTAACATAAAAATTGTGGGCATTCACCTTATTCTGTGCTCAACTAGCGTGCACATCTGTGCCTTCTGTTGAAGGCTTTGGTGTTCTTAACCTCTGATGCGGATGCGTGGGACTCTTGCCTAAGGCTGCTGAAGAGAGGAGGCTCCACCCTGAGGTTGCGTCCTAGGTACAGGGTCGGCCTTGGGGACCACTGGCCACCATTGATGTGGATTCTGAGCACATAAGGTGTCTTCACTTGGTGCACAAACACACAATTCCTGTGTGTCAACGAGGCCGTTCCTTTCCAGAGCCAATAGTTGTAGGTGGTGGCTTTTCTCTAGAGCAGGCATATCTGTTAAATTTTGCTAACCTGTCCAAGAGGAGCAACTGCACCCTCCCCTGTGGTGCTGGGGATTGAATGCAGAGGCTTTTTTTCACTGGGTGAGGCCGCTGCTGAGCCTCGTCCCCAACCCACATCTATCTTTTTTAGTATAGTTGTATTTATTTTTGGTTTTGAGACAGGGTCTTGCTATGCTGACCTCGAATTCGAGGCGATCATTCTGCCTCAGCTTCCCAAGTGCTGGGATTCCAGGGTGGGCCATTCTGCCCAGCTCAGTAGATTGATTTTAAGAGGGAGGCAGCATGGCCCTGTGGAGCAGGCATTTCGTGACTTCAGGACTGGATAATAATTCACCTCTAGGTGGAGGCGCTTCGCTCTGCGGCTGCACGTGCTGATGAGTCCTTCCCTCAGCAACTCCACTTCGAGAGTGGAGAAAGAAAAGGCTCCCACTAAGACTCTGGGGCCTCTTTAAGGGTACTAGCAGCTGGGCCCACCTGTAATCCCAACTCTGGAAAGCTGAAGCAGGAGGATCAAAAGTTCAACTCCAGATGGGGCAGACTTCTGTCTCCAAATGAGAAAAAGAAATTGCCAGGTGGGGTGGCATACACGTATAATCCGAGCACTTGGGAGGCTAGGGCAGGAGGATCACCGTAAGTTCAAGATCAGCCTGGGCTACATTGCGAGACCTTGTCTCTAAAATTTTTTAAAAAACAATGGCTGCAATATGCTGAGGCTCAATCCCCCATACTAGGGAGTAAAGAGGAGAAGACTAGTGAAGCAGCTCGGGTGCAGAGATTTGTTGAGAGGGTCCTGCCAGGAAATACATTCTAGTTGTCATGGAAACCGTAGCACTAGACAAGGGCCCTGGGACACTGCATCCAACAGGCACTCCCAGCCTAGGCAGAGCAGCGTCCAGGAGGCCAAGGAGGGCGGCTGGAGGGTAAGGCGGGTGGGACCAGCGGTATGGGACACTGCTCAGGCATGGGCAGGACAGGATCTGCATTTGTTTGTTTTGTTAACTGGTCTCCCAATTTTTTTTTTTTTTCCGGAACCAGGGTTAGAACTCAGGCCCTTGCGCTTGCCAAGGCATGAGCAGGACAGAACCCACTCTGTGATACAGAAGTCCTTGGGGAGATGAGCTGCGGGCTTTTGGTAGAAGAGAAACCAGACTGCAAAGGGTTGAGAATGTTTTCCATCCCGAAGGCTGGCCAGTTGGCACATTCTCAAGAACTTGGCAGTGCTTTTTGTTTGTTTCTACAATTTGACGCAGAGTCTCACTACACAGCTCGGACTCCTAGTGATCCTCCTGTCTCAGCCTGTCCATTGCTGAGATTACAGGTGTGCACCATCACACCCGGTTTCAGTAGCCAGCACAGCACGTGGTGCTGGGGACTGAATCCAGGTCCTGTGTTTGCCAGGCAGGCACTTAGACCGCTGAGCTATCTCTGTGGCCCAAACTTGGCAGTTGTTAAACACAGCTGATACTTAACATCTGACAGTAAAACTGCTGTCAAATGGATGCTATCAGAACAAGGGTAATAGCCCCAATTCCTCATTCCTTGTCTCACTACATCTTTAACAGTCCCAGCAAGGACTCCAATCCATGATTCCCACCTCAGTCTCCATGGGTGCTGGGATTGTAGGTGTACCCCACCATATCCTGCACTATCTGTATGCATGAGCCTATTTACAGTCATGTGCCACATGTCACTTCAGGCATTGCTATATATGTGATGGCCACTAATCCTTTTAAGATTAAGGTCATTTTACTTTAATCCCTTTAAAATTTTTTTATTTTTTTTATTTGTGTGTGTGTGTGTGTGTGTGTGTGTGTGGCCAGCTCAGCCCACCAGGGGGCGGGGCTGGCTGGCATGTGGTGCTGGGGGATTGAACCGCGGTCCCTGTGCTTTGCTGAGCTTGTTCTAAGTAGGTGCTTTAGACCAGAGCCATCTCACCAGCCCTTTTTTTTAGTTTTTGCATTGTTGAGATAGTCTTTTTATGTTGTTTACGCTGGGCTTTTCTTTTTCTTTGTTGCACCAGGGACTGAACCCAGGATTCTGCATTTGCCAGGCAAGTGCTTATTCTCCTGAGCTATCTCCCTGGCCCTGGGCTTGAACTATGTAACCTAGGCTGGCCTACAGGTCATGGTGGCCCTGCCGCAGTCTCCTGAGTGCTGGGATGGCAGGTGTGCACCACTGCATCCAGCTAGTTTGTATTTTGTGACACAGGGTCTTGCCTCAGGTTCCTGAGGAGTGGGATGACAGGTACCCACCACAGCAGCAGCCCATGTTTTTTACCTTTTATTACTGTTTTACAGCATACTTCTTCCACTTGTATAAACACACTGCACACAGTTTGCTGTATTGCTCCTGCAGCAGTCTCATTACGTCGGGCTTACCTTTGGCAGTCTGGCTTCCCTGTCACTCTTCCACCAAAAACCCACAGCTCATCTCAAGGACTTCTGTATCACAGCATGATTGGTCCATTCCAATTAGGTTTAAATACACTCTATAGGGCTGGGGAAGATAGCTCGGCAGTCTAAGCGCCTGCCTGGCAAATGTAATGACCAGGGTTCAATCCCTGGTACAGCATGTTGTACTGGCCCCAGAACCCCGGGCGCACTGTGCTGGCCACCAAAACCAGGCATGGTGGTGCACGCCTGTAATCCCAGCACTGGAGAGGCTGAGACAGGAGGATCGCTACTAGTCCTGCGTAGTGAGACCCTGTACCAAATAAATAAATTATTCATAACTAAATACACTATATAAGCTGGGTGTGGTGGCACATCTGTATTCCCAGCATTTCAGAGGCTGATTTTGAGGCCAGCCTGGGCTACACATGACTTTGTCTCAAAAAAAAAAAAAAAAAAAAATGCACTGACGTTCACAATGAAGACTGTGAGTGATGCGGGCCTCAGAACATGCCTCATCCATCCTTCCACACTGTGTGACTGTGTGGTGTCTGGGCTGCTATGTCTCTTAGCAGTTCAATCTTCGATGATGCCTTGTTAGTGCAAATGGCCACAGTGAGAATATGGCCACTATGGTCACAGCACGCACTGCAGACCCTGGGCTTTTTCACTTTTTGAGACAGCTGGGTATTAAACCTTTCCCAGCACATCAGAGGTTCAGATGGTAGGGACAAGGAGCACATGTGTATGGGGCAAACCCAGGACCTTTTACCCTACTAACCTATAGCACCTTTTTATTTTTTTTGCGGAACCAGGGATATAGCACCTTTTTAAAAAAGCTTTTATCAGTGCACATTTGCAGTATATGATTACATTCCTGCGAGGATTGGTGTACCCTTACACAAGAGTTCATTCCTTTTTCATTGCTTTCCTGCCTCCATTTATTTACTCACACTCTATTTTATTCAGACTCTGGGCCTCCTGTGCAAGAGACCATGTGACATTCAAGTTTGTTGTCTGCTGTGCTCTCCAGGTGTTTTCCTACAAATGACTCAACTTTGTCTCCTGCACCACAGTGCTCCCTTGGATGGAAGTACCATTTTCTTTGTCCACATTGGCCACTTTTAAGATCTAGCTCTTGTCTTGTGTTGCTGTAAACATGGACATGCATGGATTGATGGAACATGATTTTTTAAGGCCAGGTCTCATTATTCAGTTCAGGCTGGCCTTGAACTCACTCTGTAGCCCACACTGGCCTCAAACTTGCATGGATCCTCCTGCCTCAGCCTCCCGAGCTGGCCTGAGGTCTCTTTCAGAAAGATGCCTAGGACAACAGCTGGGTCGAGTGGAATTTCTAGTTTTAGTTCTCCAAGGAATCATCCTGATTTTCACAGCGGCTATACTAGTTTACGCTCCCACAACAGTGGCAAAGGGTTTCCTTCTTCCCCACAGCCTCACCAGTATTTATTTGATCTCCTGATGACAGCCATTCTTTCAAGAGTAAACTGGAACTTCAGTGTTATTTTAATTTGCATTTCTCTAATGGCCAGTGATGTCGAGCATTTTTTCATGTATTTATGCACCATTTGTACTTCTGAGAAGTGTCTATTAAATTTCACTTCCCCATTTTTTTAAATGAGGGGGTTATTTTTTGCATTATGTATTCTAGGTATGAGTGCTCTGTATGAGTAGTCAATGGCAAAACATTTTTCCTATTCTGTAGGTCATCTCTTTACTGTTGGTCTTTTGCTGTGGGGAAGCTTTTTAATTTGGTATGCTCCCAGTATTGATTCAATTTCTTGTGCAGCCAAGGGTCTGGTCACAAAGTCTTTTCCTATGCCTATGACTTCAAGAGTTTTACCTTTATCTTTTGGCAGGTTGTTTCTGTTCTAACATTTAGCTCTTTGATCCCACCCCAACCCTTTTGGTACCAGGTCTCACCACACAGCTTGGACCTGTACTGATCCTGTTTTCAACCTCCACAGCGCTGGGATTACAGGCATGCGCTACTACGCCTGGTCTTGATGGCCAGCTCAGCATGTGGGGCTGGTGTGGCATGTGGTGCTGGGGATCTAGGCCTGCTCCCTGTGCCTACCAGGCAGGAGCTTAGTCCACTGAGCTATATTGCTGGCCTGTATGACCCATTTTTTAAAAAATTTTATTTGTGTGTGTGTGTGTGTGTGTGTGTGTGTGTGTGTGTGTGGCCAGCTCAGCCCACCAGGGGGCGGGGCTGGCTGGCATGTGGTGCTGGGGGATTGAACCACGGTCCCTGTGCTTTGCTAAGCTTGTTCTAAGTAGGTGCTTTAGACCACTGAGCCATCTCACCAGCCCCTCTGACCCATCTTGATGTTAGGTTAGTACATGGTTAAATCTATGGGTTCAGACTCAATATCTGCACATGGATAGCCAGGTTCATCACCATTTCTTAAAGCATCAATCTTTTCCTCCAGTGTATGTTTCTAGCAAAGATGAGATAGCTGGGGCATTTTTTTTGCATCCTTAATTCTGTTCCACTGATCCCCTTGTCTGTTTCCCCACCCCCACCCCCCCAGAACTGGGGATTGAACTCAGGCCCTTGCACTTGCCTGGCAAGTGCTTACTCCACTGAGCCATCTCCCCAGCCCCCTTCCTTGTCTGTTTTTGTCCCAGTATTTTATATTTTTGAGACAGGCTCTAAGTCACTGAATTATCTAGGCTGTGCTCAAACTTGCAATCCTTCCAGAGTGCTGAAATTACAGCTCACTGCCCAGCCTAAAACTATTTTGGGTACTGATCCCCTTTGGCCCCTGGGGTCACTCTGGTATTGGGAGCTCCCCCACTGTCCTGGACCCGTAAATCTCCAGGAAAATGAAGACACAGAACACGTGCACATCACCCCCTCCCTATGCATCAGCCCCTGAAATCTGTGTTTGAGGCTCTCTTCCCCTCCCTCCCCCCACAGTACTAGGGATTGAACCAGGGATACTCAGCCACTGAGCTACATCCCCAGCTTTTTAAACATTTTTTTCTTTCAGAAAGGGTCGTGCAAACAAACAAACAAAACAAAAAAAAAGAAAAAAAAAAGAAATAAAAGAAAAAGGGTCTTGCTAAGTTACCCAGGCTGACCTGGGCTAATGCAAATGGTTAAAGCTTTTTTTAAAAAATAATAATAATAATTTTAAGACATATTTAAAGCTTATTTTTAATAAATCACGTTTCCAGAGCAACATGTAGTATGGCAGCACACTTGCCATCCCAGCATTCAGGAGGTTGGGGCAGAAGGCTTGCTACGAGTCTGAAGGGAGCCTGGGTTACCCACTGAATTCAAGGCCAGGACGGACTACGCAGTGAAGACCTAGTCTCACAACAACCAACCACTTTTCATGTGGGAAGGTCCCCCCTCTCCCCCACTGGGGACTGAACCAATAGCTGTTTGCACTGAGCTATATCCCCAGTCCTTATTTTTAAAGTTAAATAGGCTCTTGCCAAGTTCACAGGCTGGCCTTGAGCTTGCAACTGAGGCCTGCCTCTACCTGAGTGCTAGAACCACAGGCGTGCGCCACCATGCCTGGCTCAGTGTGAGATCTTGACTGGACGTGGCCCAAGGCGGTTTTCTGTGAGGGTTGCCATGCATCCTGGCGGCTTGTGTGCCACCTAGTGTCCCTATTATACTACTGGCATTTGGTGACAATGCAGCTGTTCTCTGGGATGCAGTAGTGCGCAGAGCACATGTGAATCAGGTAAACACAGGCTTGGCCTTCACACCTGAGCCCAGCGCTTCCGAGGCTTCTCAGCTCGGAGTTCCAGGGTCGTCCTGAGCAGCTCCAGGCCTGTAGAAGCCTGTTCTGGGCCTGCTGCCTCGCCTAGGGCTGACGTCCCTAAGCGTCATGCTACTGACTCCACTCAACAGAGAACACAGCACCAGTGTGTCCTCCCAACAGCTCCATCAGCTGCCACTCTGCCCACCCCAAGACCCTCTTCTGTGTGCCGTCCTGGCTGCCTCATGCAGGTGTGATTCTGCTCCAGACTCTGGGAGCCCTCCTCCTGCTCTCCTGCATCCACTCTCTGAGGCCTCCAGCAACAGCCTCAACATGAGAAGAAACAACGAGGGCACAAGGTAGAATTTTAAATTCCACGGTCCACAAGGAGTCCAAAGATAGATGGAGATAGGAGTGCATTTCCCAGCAGATGCCTGGACAGCTGCGGGAAGGACCCTGAAGGGGCCAGGAAGTCAGGTGGGGTGGGGTGGGCAGGGGATTGTGGGCAGGTGGCAGCCTGGCCCGAGATCCTTACGCTCCTAACCCTTGGTGTCCTGCCTCCGACTGAGCTGGAGTCAGACTTGCTTCCCCAGCCCCAAGGAATTTAGTCCCACAGCAGGCTCCAACATGGGCAGAGGCAAGGAGAGGCCAGGCTATGGGAGTGCCCAAGGACTGGGACCCTGGGGACATGGCCTCTGAATCTCCGACTTGTGAACTCAACCAGGATAGAGGAAGAATATGGGCAGTAGCAGGTGGCCATGGGAGACCTGGCGGCGGGGCACACTGGTCTGCAGGCTCTGTCCCTCCCTACAGTGCCAAGGCCGTGGGCTGCGTGAGTCACACATGATCACCCCTACACCATCACATCTCAATTGTCCCACTTCATTTATTACCAAAATATCACAGAATTCCAGTCATCGGTAACATACAGTTGAACACGAACCTGATACCTGCAGAAGGAACCGAGTGCCGGACAACTGAGTCTTTTGGAATCATCAGTTACGCCCCAAACCGTCATCACTCCATACTTCAAAAATACGCTTTTGAGAGCTTTGGAAACTGAATTAAAATGTCTACACAGCTATGAACAATTGTTTAATAAAACTTTTTCATGTTTCCATTACATGTAAATATATCAATTTGGCATCTCTATAAAAACTCTGAAAATGGTGCAAAAGTTTCATTCTCTTTGAGAAAGCCATTGACAAAAAATATTCACACTTCACTAAAATTTTGAAAAATGGTCTTCTTTCAAAGCTTATTAATCTGAAATCTTCTGGATTATCAAAATCTAGGTTTGCTTTTTCCTCCTAAAACACTACAGAACATTTATTCACAAGAATTTAAAGGAAAAAATAAAAAGGCAAAGGGGAGATGGAAAACTTCAGGGTCTGTTTCCCTTTTTCTGAAAATAATTTTTTAAAAAGCTACTTACATAAGCATCCTCAAAAGAACACAATGGGATTCATTTTATTATTGACTTTTGGACAGCAGTGTCAGACTTTATTGAAAACAAACCGATGTAAAAACAAAGTTAAAATGAAAAATGGTACCTGAAAATAAATTATTTTATATAAAACAAATCAATAACTTAAAACACACTAATATACAAAATGTCTAGCCATCCACTGTACAACATGGGAATCAGTTGGTAACACCCACCCCTCCCCCAAGCAAGCCACTGTCAACGGAAGTCACCGGGAGGAGGTGACCTCAAGCAGCAGAGGGGCAAGCTGCTCTTCAGGGGAGGGACACGCAGTCCTCGCGCCCCACCAGCCTAACAAAGGTCCCTGTGTTCAGTGACTTACAAGTTTCTCTTTTTTTAATGACTGACAACACAACAAAAACTTGGATCACTGCAAGGTCGTGGGACTGTCATACAATCACTAGAGGTCAGGGCAAACAAGCCTCGTGTGGACTGAGACTCAGGTTCCACTGCGCTGGTGAGAACGTGCCAATCATCAATGCCACTAGGCAGAAAGCACAGCGACCTCAGAGCTGTCTCAGGAAGCCTGGGGGGACAGGAACCCCCCCAGAAATGAGGAAGCCTGGGACTCTCTCCTGAGGAGCTGCCTCCGGTTCCAGGAGGTGAGGCGGGTCTTGGGAAGGCAGGAAGAGAGGAAGGACCAGCGTCTCCCATGGACGGAGGCCTCCACAGCTTGCACTTGCCCTCTGTCTGAAGCAGGAAGGCTGGCTGCCCAAGCACGCGGGAGTGAAATCAGGCCGAGCGAACAGTGGGGAGATGTCCACTTCCATTCTCAAGGCCAATGCTGGACCAACACAAGGCAAACCAGAGTGGCAATTCATTGCTAATAACTGCCTGCCTTGGGGTTCATCTGTTTCTGGGATCCAGCAGGGAAACCCTCAACTGCCAGCTCTGAGGTCCCCAGGGCAGCTTGGGTCCATCCCTGGGCACCCAGGGTCTCCTGAACTACACTAAGTGTAGACTCTTAAAGGTTAAGGCAGTTGCGCTCGGCGGGAGAGACCTACCTGTGGCAGGAGGCAGCCGAGCTCACCCAGCACCACCTGCACCGGCCCAAGGAGACCGGCTCTCACCTAGGAAGGTGGCGGGCACGGATGGGGAAATCAGTCCCAGTAGGGGGACATGAAGTGCAGCCAGCACAGAAGGCCACTGCTTGGCACGATACACTGAAAAGTGTGGTTGGGCCAGAGCCGCGTGGGGAGAAATGGACAATTCAGCTGGAGCTTGCTTCACCAGCTCGGAGCTGCTGAGCGCATAGAAGTGCCAGGGAAGGTCACTGAGTCAGAAGAGAGCTCAACCACAGCCTCACTGGAATTCACTGAGCAAATGCCGGACACATTATCATCTACTCTTCATTCTCTTCCATCAAAATCCCTCAATATAAGGAGAAGCACTCATTTCACTTGATATAAACACAATGGATCTATGCAGTTTTTAAATGGTTGCTTTTTGGTCATGACTTTTTTTTTCTTTGCAGTGCTGGGGATGAGACCCAGGGCTCTGAGCATGCTGGCAATCGTGTGGCAATGAAACAGCCCCAGCCTTTGGGTTGTAATTTCTAAGGCAGGGGCTCTGCTCTTTGTAGGGTCTAGAGGAGACACAAGAAATTCACCACCCATGGCCAGCATTGAAGCCTTGGTGGCAAACTGCTTTCCAGGAGCACTGTTTCAAAAACAAAGCCTTTCTTCCATACCCTGGCTTATCTGGGGTCTTGGCAAGAGGCTGTTTACAATGGAGCTCAGCTGAAATGAGGCTTGAGTCACTCAACTGAGAAGCTCCGGGGACTGTGCTGACCACCCGGAAGCAAACCGATCCACCGAGGCACTGGCTGTGAACTCACCAAGCCCTCCACGGTCTGTGCCTGTGACGGGAACCTCTGCAAGGATGGGACACTGGATGCAGGCTGGCAGGAATGCGCAGGAGTTAGGGGCCCATGACGGAGGATTTGGGACCCAGAGACCCCCTTTCCACATGAGATGCCGGCTCAAGGAACCCATAAGGCCTATTTTCCAGCAAAACACTCAGTTTTGAGGGGAGGGAATGCTCTGGGGAGACAGAGCAGGGCCTACTTATGTTGGATGAGGCCAGGCAGGGCAGGGTTCCTGGGGAAGAAGGAAGTGGTCCCACACAGCAGTGGCCCACTCCAAGGAGACAAGGTGCAGTGCACACAGCAGCCTCTGTGACACTTGAGGACAATGTAAATGGTCCCTCTAGGTGGGGTGAAGGAAAGGGGACAAGGGACAGGGAGCCTCACACTGTCAGAGGTTCTGGAGACATAGACCTGCTCTGGAGATGGCTGCACCTGTTACTTGTTTTTCCACTTAAGTAGCTTGATAAATAGATAAATAAATAAATAAATACATAAATAAATAGACAAATAACGCTGTCATCCTATGACACTAAGAACTAAAAAAACCTGTCATTACATGTTTGACATCTCATGTCATGGCTCAAAGTTGCCAGGACTGAGCATTCCTCGTGTGGTTACTTCTCCAACCTGACCGCGTCCCAAGCTGCTGCTCGGGGTGCGCCCTAGCTAGTAGTCTCTTCCTACCAGCTTCCCAGAAGAGCCACCTTTCTGTGGCTGCCCAATCCTATACCACGGTTTCGAAATGCTTTTTCTTCCAAGGTAAGTGCTTGTTTTGTAAGATCTTACGACCCCTCCCTAAATGCTGGGCTGTCTGTGTCTTCCCTAGCCAAAAAGAAAGAAAAGGTAAAACAAAAAACAAAACAAAACTCGAGCAAAACAAAATCAAATTTAATGGTCTTAAATGCAAAAGTAAAAACAAACAAAAAACACAAAAAAGCAAAAGAAAATTAACAGAACAGAACAACCCAAAATGTCAAGGCAGTTATGAAGAGAACTTTTGAGGGTTAATCTTTAAAACTACAAATCAAAGGTTTTTGTTAATAGATAACTGGCAAGAAGTAAGTTACTTTTCTGCTGAGTGTCCATACGAAAGCAAATTTCCAAAACAAAATCCAACTAAGATAGAAAAAGGCCTAGCGCTCACAAGGAGGGATGCGAGAAATACAATGCTCAAATGTTTATGTGTTATTAAAAAATAGAGCTATCTTATGCATTCAAGCTGTGTTAAATGCTCTTGGAAACTGGAGAAATCACTGTGAACAACAGGATCCGACGAGTGGGGCACCGTGCATGCAAAGTGTGGACAGAAATCAGGATGGCAGGGCGGCGACACGTCTTCAGGAGTGCCTGGAGCTCAGGGCTGACTCTGGAATACACTGGAGTTTCCCTGAAACTCTTTGGTCCGTTCCCATGGATGCCCGGCCCAGGCCAGCGTGGCCCCCCTCCCTGGTGGTGGCCCGTGGCGGGCGGGGTCACTGCCACTCCGAGGACCACTTGGCAGAGCCTGGGACCCAGTTAGCAGGAGGTGGCAGTGGGACTCACTTGGGAAAGCAATTTCCTGTCAACCAAAGCATACACTGCTTAAGGTGTTGAAGCAGTTGAGAAAGCGCACACTCGGCATCTGTCTAACATCTTTAGATTAAAAACTAAAACTGAAAGCTCACTTGTTTACCCAGTTTGTGGAGACATCGAGTGAACGAGTGTTAGACAGCCTTAGATAAAGCATGCTTCAGTTGCACCTCCACCCAGAGGGACTGGCTAGTCAACGCAGTCTGCTTAGGTTTCTGTTTAATATATATTTTAAAGGAAATAACTTAAGAAACTTAAAATTGGTCTAACATTGTGGGATTTCAAACATTTGAACATGTTGGTTGCATCCCAGAGTATAAAAACCTTTTCACTTCTCATTTAGACTAAGACAAACACTTGTGAAAATTGGCGCAAAATGAGTTGTACACTAACAAAAAAGTTTCAACTTCTTCACTCTTAATTATCTATTCCGTACAAAAAAAGCATGAGCGAGTTATTTGTGGGACTTGTTGGTTTTGAAGGAAACCTGTAAGATTTTGTCCCCCAGGCGGTAGCCATTCAGACTTGCTATGGCCATTGCAGCTTCTTCATAGTTTGTCATGGTTACAAAACCAAACCCTTTGCACTTGTTGGTGTTGAAATCTCGAATCACTTTCACATTGGTAACGGCGCCAAAGGGGCCAAACATCTGCCAGAGGATCCCCTCATCAGCATCTTGCCCGAGGTTGTAGATGAAGATGCACCAGCCTGAAGACGCGTTTCCTGGGACATTGACACCAGAAAGCCCACTCATGTGATCTACACCCATGGGGGAGAACCTAGCGAACAGAGAGCACAGCGTTCAGGTCCAGGTTGTGCAGGCTGCCAGCACCCGGGGGGGGGGGGAAGGGGTGAGACACACAGCTCGGCACACATGCCCATGCACGCTGGCCCCTTTTGGTCCTATAGCTCTACTGCTGGCCTATACCAAGGGCCTTGCTGACTTGGAAAGGAAACTTAATGTGCTAGTGAGGATGGGATACCTGCTGGAGACAGGATTTTTTTTTTTCTTTTTTTTTTCTTTTTTTTTGTGGAACTGGGGATTGAACTCAGGCCCTTGCACTTGCCAGGGAAGCGCTTATTCCACTGAGTTGTCTCCCTGGCCCCATGGAGACAGGATTCTTGTAGCACACGCCATGCCTCTACTGCGTATGCTTGGTGAAAGGTTCCAGGGCCTTCCCTTATTTAAGAGATGGCTGCCTCTTTTTTTTTTTTTTTTTTTTTTTTTATTTTAGCCAGTATTTTAATTTACATTTTGAAAGGATTTTAATTTTTTGGTGGAATTTGTAGTGCAAGTACTATTGTTTTTTTTTTTTGTTTGTTTTGTTTTTTTTTTTTTTTTTTTTTTTTTTTTTTTTTTTGGCTGCCTCTTTAAGGTCATTTTACAGGTTAAAGAAATGCCGGGGCTGGAGAGATGGCTCAGTGGTCTAAAGCACCTATTTGGAACAAGCTTGGAAAAGCACAGGGACCACGGTTCAATACCCCAGCACCATATGCCAGCCAGCCACGCCCCCTGGTGGGCTGAGCTGGCCACACACACACACACACACACACACACACTAAATGTTAAAAAAAAATTAAAAAAAAAAAAAAAAAAGAAATGCCTAATGTTCTCTATGTGTCCATGTGGGGAGCAGAGTCCACTCTTCTTCCAAACAGCACCTTCCCCCTCATCGCGACCCTGCACCACTAGGGCCCCTACAGGGCAAGGAGAACCCCCCCTCCCGCCCCCAACAGCTCTGGGCCAGCTGGAGATGTCCTGTAAGGACAGCACCAACAGCCGCAGGCACCCCACTCAGCTGCCACACAGAGTTTGGTCTACAGCCACACTCTGTTATTCTGGCAATCCTGCAAATAGAGGCTGAGGCAGGAACACAACTTAGCGTGGTCCCACTGCCTTCTAGACACGTCATAACTAATAAGCAACAGACTTAGGACCAATTAAGAATATTTGAGGAGGATGAGGCTGGGTGTGGTGTGCACACCTATAATCCCAGCCCTCAGGATGCTGAGGCAGGAGGATCCTTGTGAGTTTGAGGGCAGCCTGGGCTACAAACCGAGCTCAAAGCCAGCCTGAATTACATAGTGAGATCCTGTCTTCACAAAGACTAAAAAACAAACAAGCATACCCAAAAAAATAAAAAATAAAAAACCAACACAAAAAAAACCCCAGTGAGTTTAAGTCAGCCTGAACTATATAGCAAGACTCTATCGCAAAAAACAAAACAAAAACCAACAACAAAAAACCCATAACGGCCAGCCAGATAGCTCAGCAGTTTAAAAGTGTCTGTTTAGGCAGACACAGGAGCAGGAACTGGGCTTCAATCTCAGGCCTGCCATGCCAGCCCCACCCCCGGGGCCTGTTGAGACAGTGACTGAGACTGGGCATGGTGGCATGCACCTGTAATACCAGTGCTTGGGGAGACTGAAAACAGGAGGATCACTACGTGTCCGATCTGTGTAGTGAGACCCTACAGACCCTGCACTAAATACGTAAAAATAAAAAGACCCCCAAATCCCACAAAAATCAGCTTAACTAGCCAGCCGCACCAGGAAATGAGTTGGTGAAGTGACTCAGTGGCTTACAGGTGACACAGAGGCCAACAGGTCACATTAATAGCCATGGTCTATGGGAAACTAAATTGAGCTAATTTTTAAAGAGAAGTAGAAGAGTGCTGCCTTTCCGGTCCCAAGTACTCAGACACCTCCCTTATGCCCTGCTACTGCACTAGGCCCACCCTACCCCCGGCTCTTCATGTGTGATTCAATCCACATCAATGGAAGAACACAGTAAAGAAAACCTGAACATGTATGGATGTTCCCCCTCGTTACCATCCCCTGGACAACACAGCAGAGCAACTGCTCCCAGGACAGCACTATATTAGACACGGTACATCAGCTAGAGATGACTGGGTCTACAGGGGGATGTGCACGGGCACTATGCAAACACTACGGTATCCTATAGAGGGACTCGGCATTCTGGGTTTTGCTATCTTTTTGGTTTTGTAGTTTTTGAGACAAGGTCTCACTAGTCCAGACTGGCCTCAAACTTGCAGTGATCCCTGGCAACAAAAAAAAGAAAAAACCCCAGCTTGGGTGAAGATCAGCTCTCCCCTACACATCCTTGGGCAGGTACAAAGTGGTCTTTTACACCCACAGCTCTCCCGGTGCTGCTGGAAACCAAACAGGCCATGCCTGAGCACCCTCCTGAGAGCCTGGTCCTGGCGCCACCGCTGTACTTCCAGTGAGTCCTCCTCTGCAGATGCAAGGTCAGCCCTGCATTCTGCAGTCAGCAACTCAGCAGACTGAAAATACTACGAAAACGCCACACCTGCGCTGAACGTAAGACTTCTTGTCACTGTCCCTGAAATGCTACGGTGACAATTTAGGTAGCACTCATGCTGTACAAGGGAGTACAAGTCACCCAGAGACATTGTGGAGTCCTCAGGAGGGTGTGCATGCGCTGCATGCAAATGCTATGCTACTTCTAGGGCCCTGAGCATCTTGGGATTCTGGTGCCTGACAGCCAGCTGTGCATGGCTCTCATAGAGATGCCTTTCTGACAGAGGTACACAGGCATCTCAGACTAGCTAAGCACACTAGGACGTTGTGTTTTGTTTTGTTTATGCCAGGATGTTCTACTGGCCAACTACCGTAGTGTGACCAAGGCCTGAGGAGCATGCCTGGCCTGGAAAGGACACAAGTGGTCACCTACAGACTCACCTGAACCTCTGTGCCTGGTGGTGCACGGGGCCCCCGAAGCGCCTCGCGGGCGAGTGGTACAGTTGCGAGAGGAGCGCCACGTTTTTGTTCTGGTTGGGATTGGCTGCGAACTTCACTGTGATGGGCTCAGAGGAACCTGGGGGTTTATGACCATTGAAACTGGTAATTGCCTCTTCTGCTTCTGACCGTTTGTCAAACCGGATAAACGCAACCCCTCTGGACAAACCTTTTTAACAAATCAACAAAAATGGAGTTAGGGGGACAAAGTCGAGGACTTGTAAAACTGAAAAACAAAAGTAAAGTCAGTCTACTGTGGTTCAAACTCGACATCTGGTGAATGAAATAAACAAGAGTTAAACCTAAAGAAAAAATAAACAAACCAATTAAACCAAATAATTAATGACTGATAAAGATTAAGGTTTCACTGTTTCTAGTTGAAGAAAGGACGCCGCAGTCTCAGTGCTCACGGTTATTGTGGTGATGAACATTGCAAATAGTTTCTCAAATTTATTTTAAAAAGAAAGTAGGAGCAGGTCACATCTAGTGCTTCTCCTCACTCATGGGGCCACACTGTAGGGCACAAACGCACTGTGCAGGACGGATCCCAGGGCCAGTTCTTGAGCCTGGCAAGCCCTGCTCCAGCTGCTATCTGAGGGCTCATGTGAGCAGCCATGGGGTGGGCCGCAGGTGCCTGGGACCCCACAACGGCTCCCCTACCTGCCCTAGGGGTGTAAAGACCACTTGGAGCCCTGCCTGCACACCTTCTCCTTCCCTCCAAAAGCACGAGAAGCCTGTAGCCAGCCTTCCTCCAGCCCTTCCTGCCCCAGCATGCCATTCATTTCTTGGAGATGCTGCTGAAGATCTCAACGCCCAGCTGCCCTCACAAAGAGGCAGCCACTGGCCTTGCGGCAGAAAGCTGTCCAGGCAGGCATCGCCGAGTGGAACCTACTGCAGACTCTCTGGGCAAGTCAGGAGTCCTTGCGGCGGGCCCACTGGGCCTGGTCCACGCCTACCGGGGTTGTCCTTCTCATGCCACTAGACTAACCAGTGGACAGCACACCCCATTCGCAGCTAGCACCAATTCCATCAGCTCGGCAGACTGCCCAACTCAGTGGGGCAGTTGCAGTGGGGAAGAGCCAGGATGCCTACCCATTCTCCCTCTAGGCCCAGGGTGGGGGGGGGGGGGCATGCACAGACTCGGCCTTGGGGAACATGAATGGACTAAGGGCTGGACATGCCCAAGGCAGAGAGGGTGGGCCAATGAGCCGGCTGCATGTGCTGGGATGAGATGGGGTGAAGGTGAGGAGGAAGCCTGGAGTAGAGGTGCAGAGACCAGCAGGCAAGGGGCCCGTGTGACACCTCTGGGCTGTGATCCCACCTATGACCTAGAGAGGCTTCCCTTTCTTAGCTTCCGCACCCCCATCTCATGGCCACCAAAGGCTAAGTTGGGGTTTCTCTCTTTCAGCTTGCAGTGAATAAAAGAGCAAAGCAGGGCAACGCAGGGCCTTGGGTGACCTGCTGAGAGTGTGCTATCAATTGCCCCCAAGGCCACTTCCCACAAGGTCCTCAACTGCCCGTAACTATGATACCCTAATCCCATGTGAACAGACACAATCCAGGGGTCCACAGCTGAGGACTCTCCTTATACTGTAACAGCACAGGCTGCAGGCCCCACCACTGTGCTCCAACTGCATCCGGCTGGCCCCCTCATACCCCCAGCACAGTGCTCTCCAAGCTGCCCCCGGGGACCTATGGTGGATGAAACAGGCATTCTAGTGTCCCCTGACCCAGGTACCTACAGCTAAATAAGGTTAGACTGGACCATATGTCTAGGCACCATGACCAGTTCAGACCCTGAGCTCACTGTTCAACTCCAGGGCAGAAGGAATGCCCTGAAGCACACTGTGGCAGAGGTGGCTTCTGGCTGTTCATCGGCGTGTGAAGCCTGGACCCCTTGCTGCGGCCCACAGGGAGCCAGCATCACTCCTCTCCCCAGGCCCGTGTGTGGCCAGCTGGAGGGCGGTGTGTGAGGTGGCTTCCTGGTCTGGTTTTCCCCAGAGGGTTTTGAACAAAAACTGCCTCAGAGAAGTAAAACCTGGAGAAAAAGAGATTGGTATTTCATGTAGGGAGACAAAAAGTCATCAAGTTGGTAAAGGCACACAGTTTCAGGAGGACTCTGCAAGGTTTTTATTTTGTATAGTGTTTTTAGATTAAAAGCAGAGACCAAGAAGTGGCACAGTCTCCGCAGGAGTGAACTATGAATTACGATCATGAGCAAGGAACCTAAAGTTGCCCGGTGTGGCTCCGGTGTGTGATCCTGCCACACCTGCCTCAGCATGAGAAGATTCTTAGGTGAGCTGTGCTGGCCCGCTGGCTGTGTTCCGAGCTGGCCCTGAGGCGAGTCACAAGTAACTCTTCTGGCATAGACCAGGAGGTATCCACTCTAGAGCAAGGGCAGACTGAAGGACCTGAGTGAGGGACCCCACACCACACCACCACAGCCCACAGCCCCAGCACCCGGCTTCAGGCCACACCTGGAGCTCCGCTTTTTTTTTTTTTTTGCGGAACCGGGGATTGAACTCAGGCCCTTGTGCTTGCCAGGGAAGCAGTTACTCCACTGAACCATCTCCCCGGCCCCCCTTTTTTTTTAGATACAGGGTCTTGCTACATAGTTTGGGCTGGCCCTGTGCTCACTTCTCTAGCTCCCAGGCTCATCCTGAACTTGCAGCGATCTTCCTGTCTCAACCTCCCGAGTGCTGAGATTACATGTAGGCGCCACCACACGAATTCCAGGGCCAGCAGGGCATGTGGTACCAGGGATCAAACTCAGGACCTTGTGCTTGCTAGACAGGCGCTTAATGTTGCCGAGCTATCTCCACAGCCCAATGATTTTAAACACTTTTTTTTTTTTTTTTGTGGTACCAGGGATTGAACTCAGGACCTTGCACTCGCTGGATAGGCACTTATGCCACTGAGCTATCTCCCTGGCCCCCTACACCTGTAGCTCTGTACCTGCCAAGGCCCTGCCCCCAGGCACCATACTCCAGAAGCCCAGGGAGCCTCAGCTTGACGGCAGTAGCCCCTTCTCTCTCTGGGTCCCAGCCCAGGATTGTGGCCTGGTGCTTCCACGTAGAGCCGTCCCGGCTAGGGGCACATGCTGCATGGCATGAAGCTCAGTGTGCACAGCCCCACCCCGCCTATCCTGCCAGAGGGTCCCACTCTCATACCAAAGACTGTGCAAGCTCACACACAGGTGCCCTGTGCCACTCCCCAGCGGTGCTACTGTCTGTAAAGAGGAGGCAGCCTTAGAGCTGGGCCATCCCTGTGTACTGAGCCCCAGGCCCAGGGTGGCACAGAGAAATGTGAAGACCACTCCAGATGTGTGGTACTCTTTCTTAAGTTCTGGTTTGTTAGCAAATCCCCACTCCTGCCAGAAGAGCAGAGGATTCTAAAGCAGGGGTACCCTGAATGCTGAGCCCACTTGGAACTCAGCAGGCAAGGTCCTGGTCTCAGTTCCTAGGAGTTGGGTGGGGACACAGCATACATGCGGTACTTGACTCATCTGCACCGAGTCCTGTGCCGAGATGCAGGAGGGGCAGCCGAGTGGCTGAGGCTGCTCGGGAAGGAAACCAGGACCTCTATACTCTGAGCCTCAGAAGTGCCACAGAGAATCACCTAACACAGAGGCCTGAGGAAGGTCTCTCCTACAACAGCTGTGGCACCTCAGGGCAGTGACATAGGAACTTGAGACTGTAACAGACACACACACGCCGCCTACCTGCAACGACAACGGCAGCGGATGGTTGGGCAGCACCTTCCCATCCTGCCTGCATGCCAGCCTAGCACTGGGTGCCTCAGAGGAGCTGCCAGGATTTCTGGGTGTTTCCACCAAAAAATGTGGTCTAATCCCAGGGCTCCTTTGAAAGCCCTCAGCTTCATCAATGAAAGTTGCTGTCTTCTCATTTCAATTCTGCCCATGTCTTGGGAGTAACTAATACACTACAAACCCCACAGTGAGCTAGCTCCAGGCCAGTTGGGCCTGGCCTGCAGGAAAGCCCTGGGCCTGTCCTGGGCCACCTGCTGTACCTGTGGTCTGATCCACAAGGACCCGGGAATTGATGATTCGCCCGAACCGAGAGAACATGTCCTCCACGTCCTTCTGGGTCATGGTCCTCGGGAGCCCGCTGATGTACAAGTTGGCATCTTTGATGACCTCTGAGCTTGGGCGTGCGTACGACACCTTAAAAACAAAACCACTTCCTAGGATTAGGACAGGCATGTGGCTGAAGTATCAAAGGAGCACCATACAATCTAGGGTTCAGAACAGCTAGCACTATGCTAAGAAACCAAGCATAGGGCCATTTCTCATCCATAACACTTATCACCTGCAGGGGACACGCTGCAACTCCCATGGGACAGGCAGCAACAGACACCTTCCCATTCCCTCACTAGGTCTTTGCCACACCCAGGGCAGACACTGGTCCTATGCCGAAGTAATAGAGACTGGGTCCATTACTCTTCTCCCACTGTGGGCTCATGCCCTCTCTGATGGGCTGGCAGGACAGGCCCTGGTCTGTCTGCAAGAGGTGGTGGTATGGCAGGCACAACTGGGAGTCCCTCTGAGAGAATGCAACGCCCCTGCCCAGAAGTGAGCTCTCCATGCAAGCTCACCCAAGGACTCACACATACTGGAGGAATCTCATGCCCAGTACGCAAACATTCAGCCATCTGTTTGTTTTCGAGACAGGGCTCAGCATATAGCCCAGGCTGGTCCTGAATTTGTGATCCTCCTACCTCAGCCTCAAACATTCACTATTAAGTACTTGCAAAGTGGGGGTAGGGGCAGGAGAGATGGCAAGAAAAGATGGCAGGAAAAGGTGTGCAGTGTTCTCACAGGTAGAGGTGATGCAGAGACTCATGGAGGATCCAGGGGACGACAGCTGCCCGAGGGAGGAGCACTCGGTGGCACCTCTCTGTCCATGGGAGGAGCAGCCTGCAGGATGTACCCCTAACCAAGCCACCATGCCAGGTTACCAGGGAGAGGAGTCAGGGAACAAATGCTGGAAGGGCAGGGCTCAGGCCTGTGCAGGGAGCCAGCCTCTCTGCAGGCCCAGGCAGGAAGGCTGTGAGGACACCAGGTCCTGTGAGAGGCCAGCAGCTTCTGAGGCAGCAGACCTGTGCTCACAGGTTCCCTCAAGGCTTTCCTGTCTACCCAAAGTGCCTCAGTGTAGCTGTAGTCCTGCTCCCCAGGATCTCCCAACCCTGGGCCCAGGCCCTGGCCCTCTGGAGAGCCACCCAGCCATGCCGCCTATGGGATCAACCCTGGGTTTCAAGAAGAGCTCAGGGGAAACAGGCATTTGCATTCCCAAGCTGTGCCTGGACCAAGGGTGGGACCGAGCTCAGGCTGCACAGACTACTCTAAGGCCCTGGATAAGGGGAAATGTAGCGGGTCCACTGCTGAGGACAGCTGCCCTACTGCAGGACAGTGATCTTCAGGGACCTTTTCTCCAGCCATCGCCAAGCCCAGGGACAAAAAACCAAGTGAGACTGTACCAGAGCAGCCAGCCCCAAGCAGGGGTGCATTGATCTTCAGGGTATGGTTGGGGTGCTGTTCCACACCCCACTTCCTAAGCTCCAGGAGACATCTGTTCTCCACTCTCAATCAAGTCCCTTCCTGTCCCATTCCTGGGAAATCTATAAGGGCTGATGTTGTATGTCCCCACGTCCCAACCCAATTCACACCCCAGGGGACTCAGATGTGACCTGATCCAGATTTAAGTGCCTTGCAGGCATCCTTAGCTAAGATGGGGTCACATTGGGGGAGGGGGACTAAAGCAATGCCTCCCGCTCCAGTTCAAGGGGGAACGTGGACACGGGCACACACTGGGAGGACGCTGTGTGACAAAGAAAGTGTATCTGTGTCCTATATACCCAGAAATGCCAGGAACACCTGCGGCCACTGGGGGTTAGGAGTAGGGGGCTTGGGTAAGTCTGTAACAGATCCTTTCCCAGTGCTTCCCGAAGGACTATCCCTGCCGGCTGCAACTTCACATGACAAGTATGAGCGGGAGCTATTCTGTGGTTTGAGCTGCCTGGTCTGGGAATGGCAGCACAGCTACTCCAGTGGCTCACACGTGTCCTTGCCCTGTGGTTTCCACTGCCCCTGCACCATCTAAGGTCCCACCCTGCCCACCCCTTGTCAGTAAGGGCCATGACCCTATGGTGTATCACTTAACTGACCCAATGGAGTGGACACTGGGTGATCCCTGGGTGTCCCCAGCACCCAGAGCACAGACCTGTAGCAGTCACCTATAGCTGGGTGACAGCACTAGGGCTCAGAACTCCACCTTTCCACACTGTCAAGGCTGTCTGCTCTATAACATAAATTTACTGTGCTGGCTCCTGAGAAAGCCATCAGATACTGGAACTAAGTGCCTGAGGCCACAGCATGGCCCGGCCCCATCCTCCCTCTCACTTCCACCTTGGGAAGGCCATTGCTTTTCATAATCTGGCTTCTTCAGCCCTAAACAGGGGCTCATGCTTTGTAAACCCATGGCATGCACACAGCCATGGCCGGGTCACCGTAAGCCTTCCCAAGTGTAGGCCACATGAATCACACAGGCCTGCAGTTGCCAGGTCATGCTCAGTGTGGCAGTCTGGCTGCCACCACAGGGAAAAAGCAACTACATGTGTGGGGAGGAACTAGGCTGGCTGGCTGTACAGGCTGGGCACCCTGAGCCCCAGCTCCCAGAAGGCCCTGTTCTCAGGGAGGATGCCCAAAGTTCCTAGCACACTCTTGGTCCCTGGGTCTCCTGAACTGCAGTGCCCTTGCCTTGCAGCCCTCCATGAGTGGCACCCGGCCTCTGTGGGTCTCTGGTTAACAACTCTTCCTCCAGATCAATCCTGGCTTTCTTGAGGGACCTTGCCTGGTACTGCGTGACCCAGGGCAACCCGGGGGCTAACGTCAGCAGGCAGGACAGTGCTCTGGATAGTTGGCAGTGGTGACAGAAACCCCAGCACCTGGCAGGGGTCTGGGGCTAGCCATACTTCTACAGTGCATGTCTGTCTGCCAGCCTGGAGTGCTGTAACAACACACACACACACACACACACACACACACACACACACACACGATTAAACCAAAAGCCCAAAGAACAAGAGCAACGCAAGAAGGTCTGGACTGTGTGCTGAGTAGTTTTAAAGCCCTCAGGATTTCCCTTTCACTCAGGAACCATGGTTGTCACCTGGGTTTGTGCTAAGAGACAGCTCAGGAGGGGACTGCTGCCAGAAAGACTGAACACATGGTCAGAAGCTATGGCTGTGAGCCAGCCACAGTATGGAATGAGATTCCCCAACAGAACTCAACAGGTGGAGAAGAGCCTACGCAGGGGCAGTGAGGCACCCTGACTCCACGGGTGGGGACGTGGAGCTCAGGGCGGTTGGGACCCTGCTAGACCTTGCACTGTGCACCTGTCCATTTGATGGCTCCTGGTCTGCATCCTTTACAATCAAACTATCAGAACTGAGATTCTGTGAACAGAAGGGGCCATGTGAACACCCAAACTTGAGCGAGTTGGTCAGAAGAACAGGAAAGCTGGAGAACCCAGCGTGCACCTGTCATCCATGTCAGGGAGTTTTCTTGGGGCCTATGCCCTTAAACTCAGAGTGGCTGGAGTTAGAACAGAACCAGGGAACATCGGCTGGTGGTAGCCGAACATGGAGTAAGCCTGTGTGACAGCCAGCCCTTATCAAGCTGCATGGGTCAGTGACCCCCATAGGGAGCCTGTCAAAGGCAAACAGGTGATTCGTCTCTCGATCTCCAAGTATGCAGCTCAGCACTGGCCCTAGCTAGGGCTCAGATAAGGCCGCTTTCATGAGGGTGCATGGTGGGAACACAAAGCACGACTAGAACCAGGTCTACGCAGTGCCAGTGACAAGAAGAAAACTGAACCCCAGGGCATGCATGTTCCCAAGGGCCTGATCTGTTTCTCAGAGCCTGCCGTGTGGCTGAAAGCCACCAGAGAGACTTTGCTGTGCAAGGCAAGGCTGTGACCTGAGCTGAGCTGCAGGGACGGGGACAGGCAGCCTCAGGAGCTCCTGGCTTCAGCTTCAGAAAGGGCCATTTCCTGCCAATGTTAATCCAGAAGAGGTCAAGGAACCAGGGTCACACAGGCTATGTATCTAGCATCTGAATAAAAAAACCCAAAAACTTTGTTTATAAATAACTGGTCTGGGGCCAGGGAGGTAGCTCGGCAGTCTAAGGGCCTACCTGGCAAGCACAAGGACCCAGTTTCAATTCCCAGTACCATATGCTGTGCCTGCCCTGCACTGAGCTAGCCACTGAAACCAGGCATGGTGGCACATGCCTGGAGTCCCAGCACTGGGGAGGCTGAGACAGGAGGATCACTGAGTCTGAGATGTGTAGTGAGATCCTGTACCAAGTAAACAAATAAATCTTTTAAAAAATATAAATAAGTAAATAACTGGTCTGCATTCATCTCAGCCTGGCTGCCCCAGAAACAAGAACAGGACAGCGTTTTCCAAATGGAGATGATTCCTATTGACCCCTGGGCTGAGGACAGACACCCCGAGGCTCCTGCAGAACAGCAGGCTGCCCTTGTCAGCCTCCATGGTGCAAGTGGTGTAGAGTCACATTCCTGCCCCAGGAGCCCACAGCAACCCCACAGCCCCGAGGCACAGGTGGGTCTAGGAAGGCTGCCAGCGTGTGGGTGGCTCTCGGCCACAGTCACGGAGCAGTGAAAGGACAGGGCAGGAGGCCTCCCACGCTGAGCATGCACTGCCCCATAGGTCAGGAGGCTCTCCTGGTAGGCTGCCAAAATAACATTCCCAGGGTCACCCATCCTAGAGTGACCTGATGCTGACAGAACTCAGCACATCAGGCTTCAGATCAAGAGGAATAGCTCCAACCTGGTGGGATAGGACACGTCTGCAAGCCTAGCACTCTGTGGGGCTGAGGCAAAAGGTTCAAAGGTTCAAACTCAGCCTAGCCAACTTGGTGAGACCCTGGCTTAAAATAAGGGAGAAAAAAAGACAAGGGCTAGGGATACAGTTATGTGTAAAGGCCATTGGTTCAATCACCATTGCTGGGAGACTGGGAGACTGGGAGACTGGGAGACAGACAGACAGACAGACAGACAGACAGACATAGGGAGAAGATCTCAGCAAGCACACATCTCAGGAACAAGAGCTAAAGAGTCGGTCTGGGGGTATCCTGCAAAGCTATGCACTGAGTGGTGGTGGGCAGTGGCTGTCAAGCAGTGGCAAGAAGCCAAGTCACAGGAAGAGGTTCTTGGGAAGGCCCCACAGTACCTTTGATAACAGCAGACAAGGAACAAGGGCTGGTCTTAGGCAGTGGGTGCCACTGCAGTAGGGAACCAACAGGCAAACACCAGGGATGGGGTTGGGGCCATTGGGCTGAGAGCACCGCCCTCCAAGCACAGGCAGTAGGCAGTGGCCAACAGCAACAGGCTCAGAAGGATGGAGGCAGAGGCGGCTGTCTAAGGTGACGATGGCTCAGGGGGCAACCACAGCCATGTGGGAGGACTGCAGCATCCGGACTGCAGGGCTGCAAGGCTGGTGCCCTTTTAACTAGTCCCTGTGACGCCTTCCTTCAAAGTCTGCCTGGCATCGCAACAGTCACTCTCCGCAGCCCCGAGGCCCTGCAGCCTCGTGCCTGTGGCCCCGGCTCCACCACAGCCCAGGATCTGTGCTGCTCACCATGCAGACACAGTGGGTGCTAAATGGAGTGAACGGCCACTGAAAGGTCTGATGACTTGCTAGAGTGAGGCAGGAAGGGCAAAGAGTGGAGCTGCGGGGTACTGCTGCTGTCACAAGCCAGTAGCCACTGAGGGGCACAGCTGCCCACATGCTCACGGAGTACAGGAACTGCTGAGGAGGCCAGAGATGAGTGCGGGCTGTGGAAGAGGCTGCTTGTGAGCTGACACAGCCCAGGGACACCCTGGCCAGGGGCTGAGGTCTGACCCCGCATGCCTTACCTTCATGGAACCCTTTGCCAGTGAGATTGAGGAAGCCGTAAGCTACCTGTGCACAGCCTGGGATGGTCACTGCCAAGGGCACAGGTGACCAGGCTCCCTGATGCTATGAAAGCCAGGCCTCAGAGGACTGGCTATGCTAACAGCTGGTCAAACCAAGGCCAGCCAGGCTTAACAGGACCCCGCCCCAGGCAGGAACAGACAAGTGGTGACCAAGGCTCCTTACCTTAATGGTTTTTGACTGGAGTCGGAGGCCATTCAGAGTGTTGATTGCTCTCTCCGCGTCCTTTGCAGTCACATAGTTCACAAAGCCATAGCCCAAGCTGTGTCCTATGTGGGAAAATATGAAGACACAGGTAGAACAGCTGCCAGCAAGTGGGTGGGCAAGAGGATGGGAGAACCAGCAGCATTCGAGCTGATGGGGTCAAGGGCAAGGTTGAAGAAATGTTACGATCAGTGTCCTCTGTGCATGTGGACTAGAGATGGGGCAAACTTTCTTAGGAAAACTCAAACATACTTGCTATGAACAAAAGTCATTTTTGTAATTAAAAAAAAAAAAAAAAGCTATATAAAAGGTAAGAATGTGTCATGATCAGGCTCAGGGACTGCAGGGCCCCAGAGTGAGGATGAGGAGGGCCACACAGGACACAAGCCAGTGAGCAGAGCCCAAGGGCAGCTGGCTGTGGCCATTCCCGCTGTTCTCCAGCAACATCTAGCACTGGTTCCATTTACTTCCCCCAGTGTGTGTGAGGTCAACTGGACCCAAGAGGGAAGGAGGCCCAAGGAGCCCCCAGCTCCAGCCAGGGTGCCAGGGCTGTGTCTGTCACAGACTCCAGCTCAGGACAGTCAAAACCTGAGATCCTCAGTGTCAAAGAAAACCAGAATAACAGACAGGTGAGGCCCCAGCCCTTCTCTGTGAAACACGACAGACAGGAGCCAGCACCAAGCGGACAGCAGGTACACACTGGGGGTGGAGGAGAGGGGTGCAGCAAGGACTGAGAGTCAGAAGGGAGCCCAGGAAGACATCCATCCACTCACACCCTTGCCCTGAAGCAGCGCAGCATGTGACTCATGCAGTCACCAGGATGCCTTCAGCACCTCCCTCCCTCCGCTCTGCTGTGCTCTAGGACAAATGCTGGGGCCACCTAAAGGCAGAGATTTAGTACAGTGCATTTGTTACAGTACCCAAACCAATCTTTGCTTGTTACCACCAATTCTGTCCCAGGATAGCACCCTGGGTCTAGTAGCACCTGTCCCCAGCCTCCTCTGGCTATGTTAGGATCTCAGAGCATCCCTGTTCTCTATGACCTGGATAGGCTGGAGAAAATCTGGTCAGTATCTCATAGAACAGCCCCTAAGGTGAGTGTGTCGTTCTCGCACTCAGCATGGGTGACTGTCCTCCCATTCACGGTTCACCATGGGTGCAGCACACAGGCCATCACCTAGCTACATGGTGAGTCTGTGAGGCTGTCTATGGCCAAGCTCTCCAGAAGAAGAGCTGGAAGAAGTCAAAAAGTGCAGACAACATTTGAGGAGTGGCCTTACTGCTTCAGGATGCAGCAGTCACATGCATTATTTGCAATTCTGCAGCAAAATTTTTTAAAGAAGCCAACAAAACCTGACCATCTAACCTTATGTTTCTAAAAAAGTCAACTTCATAGATCCAAGACCCAAGAGATTGAGCTCATGGCCTGAACAGTGAGGAGTGGCAGCAGCAGGGCTGGGGGCCCAGCACTCTTCAGTGTTGAAAACTACGGTGGGGTACTTCAGGGTCTCCACAACTGGCCCTGATGCCACATGTGAATTCTGAGCACAGATGCCATGGTGAGGATCCCAGCCCCTCCACCCATCTCCCACTGTGCCCAGGCCACAGAGCCTGCCCTACCTGCCACGACCCCAGGGCAGAGCACTGAGGCCTCTCTGTCCAGCAGGCACCACTGTTTTGGGGCCTTGTCCTCCTGCTCCACCCTGGCCCCAAAGCACTATCTCTGTCCCATCAAGGCCAGGGTTTCAGGTGGCCTAAGTACTGCTGGGGAAATCAAGTCCCAGGAGGTGTCCTGGCCCAACACTGTCCTGCCTTCCGTGACAGCTAGGTCCACTCACCCCTGCCCAGCCCTGCTCCTGTCATCTCACCTCTGCTGATCAGGGGTCCCATTGCTGCCCTGGGTGTTGGTCCTCAGGTCTTTCAGGACATGTCTCCCTAACCCTGGTGACACCAGGAACTGCCTCTCTTGGGATCCTGGCTCCCCTAGGACAGGGAAACATCACCCCAACTGTGCCTCCTCAACCTTTATGTGCTTCCCAATGAAGCATGCCCACGCACCTGCCAACATCACAGAGTCGACCTGGAACTGACCATCACTCACAGTGTCAGGTCCTAGGCCTGCCTGGGGCCCTGTGAACATTCAGGACAGAGGACAGCTGCTGTCACAATGAAAGCTGAGACACCACGGGGAGGTCCAACAGAAAATTAGAAACCAACAGGCCAAGACCCTGACACCAAGGCCCTGCAGCAGGGGATGGGCATGAACTCTGCTGTGCTGTGAGGAGCTGAAAGCACAGGCAGTCAGGCAGTTAGGAGAGCCCTTGGCAGCGGCGATTTCGAGCCAAGACCTTGGTGTAGCTGGGCTCCAGCACTCCAAGAACAAATACCAAGGCACAGGCCATCCTACTGGGCTCCAGAAAGGAGGCAGCCAACAAAGCCACACAAACATCACCAGGGCAAGGGGGATGCAGCAGGGCACCTGTGAGGCAGGTGAGATGTGGGAAGAGGGAGGGTGCACACGTCAGAGGGCAGCAGAGGCGAGAGCACCCGGGGACTACACGGGGTGGGCGGGCGGGGAGCAGCAGCAGGGCAGGGCTGGCACAGGGAATGAGCACCAAGCAGACACCTGGGGACGGCCCAGGGGAGGAGGGAGGTGCCTCTGTCTGCACATCAGCCACCCAGGTGTCTGCGGTGTGGGCAAGGATGTAGTTCCACAAAGCCTTCTTCAGTTTGGGTCCAGGGACAGGCTAAGCTCCCATCATTAGACAGGCAGAACCTGCTCCCCTTTAGGAGATGGAGGCCTGAGGCTGGCAGGCAGCAGGGGGCTGGGCCTGGCAGGCGGGCACAACATGGTTCCCGCAGAGGCTGCTACGGGTTTGGTGGTGGGGCCTGCCAGGATTTGGAGCCAAGGGGTAACCAGGTCCTCGAGATGGGAGACGATGTAGGAAAGAGGAAAGGGGGAGCCAGTGAGAGGGGAAGAGTGCACAAACACTGAGTCTGAGGCCTGTAGACATGCCAGAGGCTGGGGCTCCTCAAACTCCTACCTCCTCAAATTGTAGGAACACAATTCTGGCCAGAGTAGGGTCTGCGCCCTGGTTCTCTGACTTGCCAGCATCAACCCCAAGCCGTTAAAATCCAGATGACAGTGACTAACAGTACATGCAAGTGGGAACCCGAACTTCTCCAAGCCTGCACGTGCCAGTGGTGGTCAGAGGATCCCTGGGGACACCCTTGGACAGAGCTGGCCTGTGCCCTGGGCTTCCCAGACACCCTCCTCTCACTTCTTAGGAGCTAAGATCCAAGAGACAATGCTGCAGCATTCTGTACCACCCTGCCAGATGTAATGATTTAATCCCTCAGGGTTCTCACATCCGAGGAGGCTCTGGAGTGACTGCTAAGGGCGGTACTGTGGCTCCTCTCTTTTTTGCTTTTTGAAACAGGGTTTCACTATATAGTCTAGGCTGGCCTCAAACTCATGGCAATCCTCTTGCCTCTGCCTCATGAGTGCTGGGATTACAGGTGTGTGCCACCACGCCCAGCTTGTGAGCCCTTTGTTTAAAGGTCCATGTGGCCTCTAAGAGATTTCGCTAAGAGACACTGACCCTGTCTCAGGGTGGCAAGGGAGTAAACTCACAAAGCAAAAGGTAAGAAATAGCAAAGGAGAGAGAGGAGAGAGAGGACAGGAGAGGATAGGAGAGGAGGGAAGGGAAGGGGGGGAGGAGGGGGGAGAGAAGGGGAAGGAAGGAGAGAGGGGGAAGGTCGGAGAGAGATGGAGGGAGGGAGGGAGGGAGGGAGGGAGAGAGCGCACTTCTGAGTCGAGCTGCAGGAGAGGAGGGGAGAGGAGGGGAGGAAGGAGGAGAGAGAGAAAGAAAGAGGGCAAGAAAGAAAGAGGGCAAAGGACATGAGTATTGTACAGAAAAAACACTATAGATTACAGGATGAAAACTACGATGAACTTCACCCGAAACTCAAATCAGCAACACGATCAAATGTCACTCAAATGTCACTCGTCAAATCTCTGGCTGGCAACCAGGAGAAATCCTGTCAGGCCCAGGGGCTGGTAGGGCTGGGTAGAAGGGAAGGTGAGCTGGCAGCAGAGACCTAGAGTTCTTGGAGGGACACTCTCCCATCTGCTGCTTCATTTCTGAAAGATCTTCTATGGAAATAGCCAACAAGCAAAGATTGCCAGGATTTATCTCGGCAGGGCTTAGAAATACAGAAATGTGGAAAACCAGATACTATGCAATGTACAATATTCAGTGATCAAAAGAAAAATGTCCAGATATAGAAAAAAAGACCATTTACTGTATAGCTTGCAGTCCATTTACTGTATTGTCTTGCTTCTGTAGCAGCAAGACAGAAAAGGCATGTAAGGACATGAACCCCAAAGCTAGCCATGGTGGGATGATGGGTGCCTTAAGCTTCTCTTCCTGTTTTCTCATGTGCCAGATTTTTCTTAAAGGAACAAAGATGACTCACATCAAGGAAAAACAGTGGCCAGGCCAGCAAAGTGTGGCGGCATTCCTGCAGGGGAAGGGTGTGGGCAGATCTAAGAGTAGGAGCATAGCTGTCTGGGAAATGACAAGCAGCACAAGCAGCCTGAGAGGGCAGGATGGGGATCAGGGGTCCCAGGAGCTGCAAGCAGGGGTCAGGCTTTATCCTGGCCACAGGTGTGTAGCAATGCCCCAGAGACTGCAAGTGGGCTGAAATTGGGAACCTGGTGGATGCGAGACAGGCATGAGGATAGAGCGGTGGCTCCTGCCTTTGAGCTCATAAGGGCTACTGCAGAGACCAGACACCAGGGAAAGGGCAGGCAGGGCTGCATAGGAAAGCACCAAGTAGCACCACTGGACACTGTGGTGGCACCCTGCAGCTAGTATCTGTGGAGGGAGTCAACAAGAGCCACAACCCTGGCAGTGGACAGGCCTGTACACTGCACAATCCTTTCATTCCAGCCACAACCACGGCCCTTCCTGTCCTGCTCCCAGGGCGCAGTCTGGCCTCTGACAAATATCTGCTGAATGAACAGAGTGCTGATCTGCGCTCTCTCCAGTTTCATACACTCATTCAGTAAGTACTGTGGCTACATTTGGGCTATGAAGGGTAGCAGTGCCTCTGAGAACTAAGCTGATGTACTAGACTAGAAAGTTTCAGGGCCGGCCAGACAGCTCAGCAGACTAAGGGCCTGCTGTGGCAAGAGGAGGGACCAGGGTTCAATCCCCAGAGTACGGTGCTAGTCCTGCCCCCAAGGCATGCTGAGATGGTGATTGAGACTGGGTGTGGTGGTGGGCGCCTGTAATGCCAGCACTTGGGAGGCTGAAAACAGGAGATCACTACAAGTCCGATCTGTGTAGTGAGACCCTGTACTAGATACATTAAAAAAAAAAAAAAAAAATTCCAACCTCAGTAAGGTGTCAAACTCCCGGCAAAAGGATTCCCAGTTGCCCAGTTGCCATGAGAACCAACAGGCAAAGATGCTCACTGGGAGGGGCCAGGGAGCCCTCTGCAAGCACTGCAAGCAAACACAAGCCAGGACCCCAAGGGTGTTGGGGGAGGGGTACAGAAGAGGTTCTGCTGCAGGGCAAACATCCAGAGGGAGGATGGGTGCAGTTCGGAGGTAGCAATAGTGTAGGAAAGGCAACCGTGACATTGGCTGGGCTGGTCCTGGGAGATGTAGCCAAGAGGCCAGCACCAGGACACTTAGCACAATGACATTAGGCCTTTGAGAGCTCCAGTGATACAAACAGCCCTGCTGCAACATGCATGCCACAGGTTTGCCACAACTGACCTAGGAGGTCGGAGGGCACCCTCTGGATTCCGACCAAGCCACTGTTGTGAACAGTAATACCACTTGCAAAGTTGGAGACATGGGACATGAATGGCCGACATGAAGACAGATCAGCTCAGAATACAAGAAAACATGGTGCTGAGGAGCCCAAGCTCCTGAGAGCTTTCTGATCAAGTGGGGAGACACAAAGATGTTATAGGGAGCTTTGAGTGAATCCGCTCAGCCTATGTACGCTGTGGAAGAAGAGGGCTAAAGAATAACCTGGAGGACTCAGTTCCAGGTTGGGCAAAGGAGAGCTGCAAAAGAAACACAGCCTCAACACAATGGCCTAAGCTGATGGGGAGGACACATACAGGGGTGTTGATGCGGAGAAATCCTGAAGCAGACGAGGTCAGGGAGCTGGGAAATGACTGAGTGCTGAGACGGCAACCCTGCAGGGACCCAGGCTATGTGGGTACTGGGACAGCTTGAGGGTGCTAGGAAGCCAGGAAGAAGGGGAGATCCAGGGCAGAGCTGAGGTTGCTGCTTGTTGCACTGTGGAGTAAGAGGTGGTCATCAGCTGGTGCCCAGGACCAGTCAGTGATAGGAGGGAAGATCCCACAATGGTGATATGGTGTGGAGACACCTGTTGAGAGAGCTGAGTAGGCTGGGAGAAGAAGTGTAAGAGGCTGGCTGAGTGGAAGAGGTTGCTGGGGTGGGGGGCAATGTGAGCTCTAGCCTGGAAAAAGTGTTTTCAGAGTGGTATCACAGAAGGGCAGGCACCCAGTGAAATGTAAGACCACAGCCCTGGGATAGCCAGCAAAGTTGTCACATGCTGGTGACAGCAGAAGAAAAGTTAGGGTTCCAACAGTTGTTCAGAAGCTTCACTCACTGCTTTGTGTTAGTTTGGTTTGCTTTTTTCAGACAGGATCTTGCTGAGTAGCCCATGCTGGCCTTGAACTCCTTGCGATCCTCCCACCTCAGCCTCCCGAGTGCTGGGATCACAGGTATGTGCTACCACTGCATGTAAAGGACTGTTGGCAGGATGAGCCATTATCCAGTGCCCCTTGCATGACTCTCAGCATGTGGACTGCTGCCCGAAGAGAAGACAGACCTCATCTCAGAATGGAATGAACTTCAGCCCACATCTGCTACCATCCTAAGCTCTCACAACTGGTTCTCCCAAATGGACCTTACCAAACCTAGTGTTTCTAAGAGCACAGCTCACATTCCTCTGGAAAGCACCACAGGTGAACCAAGAGGCCACGTGGTAGAATTAAGACTCCAGCATTGCAGAAGCTCTTTGAGCTGCAGCCCCCACCCCACCCTCAAGGCTTTAAGCAGGCAAGGCAGGATTTGCTAAAGGCACCAGAATTTCAAAAACCCTCCTGGCCAGACCTCTCTTATTCAAGATGGAACACTAACACTGGAACATTCTAACACTGGTCCAGTTTGGGTATCACATAAATGCCTTCTCTGGGGGGTACTTATTAAATCAGACTCTGAGTTGCAGGGGGAGGTGGTGTCTGGGTCCAGGGCCCCCATGTACACGCTGTTTCTTTAGGACATCTGTCAGACAGGGATGCTGGGTTGTCTAGGGGTCTAGCGTCCTCAGGTTACTGATGAAGCACCTTGAGGGGCACACTGGGTTCAATGTGTTACTCTTTGTTTCTCTATACTTGAAATTTTCCATAACAAAAATGTGTTTTTAAAAACTTTTAAATTAGTTTCCAAAATGGGGAGGACTCAGGGTCCCCTGAGCCAGTTGGCAGCCAGAGTGCTCTGAGAAGGACTGTTTGTTCCTCAGCCTGCCAAAGGGGATTAAGGAGGAGGAGCAGGGAAAGGGGCCTCTCAGGATGAAAAAGGAAGACAGGAAAGCAGCAGGGCTGTGCAGCACCTGGCTCCCCTCTGCTCCACAGCCCTGAAGCCACGCATGTAACCGGGCCTGCAGGAAAACCAGGCCTCTGCAAACACCTGCGAGGTGGCGCCAATCAGACACAGGCACCACCACCATGCTCCACACACAGGGACAGAGAAGCCCAGCAGTCACACTGTAGGGGAGCAGAAGAGTAGAGCTTCAGCTGCCCTGCTCCTGTCCCCTCAGGCTCAAGCTTCACGGGTACAGTATTTAAACTGCTAACAGTCAGGCTGGCCAAAAGTGACACTGGGCTGCCCACAGCGTCCTAGATGGCCTGCGCTATGGGGGCGGGGCTCACAACAGGACTGCCAGCCCAAGCCCGGGCAGCAGGCTCCGCAGGGTCCCTTCCCCACGTGGGCCTTGGTCAGCCTATGCAGACGAGCTGGGCCATGCTGTTGTTATTTGGCTCCTTCCAGCTTTTACAGCAGTCTGCATTTCTGCTGGCTCCACATTTTCCTCTCCCTCCACACCCGTTTCGGGGACAGGGTCTCACTGTGTAGTTCAAGCTAGCCTACGTAGCCTCGGCTGACCTTGAACTCCCAACAATCCTCCTGCCTCAGCCTCCTCAGTGCTGGAATCACAGGTGCACTTCTACACTTTACTTTGTATGTGTACTCTGTTTCACAAAGAATTTCTTTTCTTTGGGAACTTCTGTCTAAACTCATAGTAGGACAGTGTAAACCAGTGTATGAGAAAGAAAGGAAACATCACAGCCACTGCGGAGGCCGTGGCTATTCCACACTGAGGAACGAGACAGTCTCAGGCAGGGATGATGCGCCTGAGAGCACAGCACCCGCTTCACAGATACCCCTCAGGCGTTTACCTGCCACTTTATCCCGGATAAGCTTTGCTGACTCCACTTCACCAATGCTGCTGAACAGACTCCGCAGCTCATCCTGGGTCATGTTCTGAGGGAGGTAGTTGACAATTAGGTTCGTTCTCCCAATGTCATCCCTGCAGTCTTCGGCCATGTGGTCTTCATAACCATTAGACATTGTATTACTATTTTTTGTTTTTATCTACAAGGAAAAAACAAGATCACGTAAATCCAAATGCTCACAACATGGCATACAAAGGCAAAAGTAAAGACTACATTTGAACTTGCTTCTCACCATAATCAGGACAAAGATGGCACCACAAAAACCTGCCTTCGGACCTTCACAGCAGCTTTATTCCTAACTACCAAGGCCCGGAACCTGGTGAATGGACGAGTCCACTCCATTCGCTATGTGGCATAACAGCAACAGGGAACACCATTCAGTGCTTAAAGAAATAAGCTCTTGGGCTGGGGAGAGGCTCAGTAGAATAAGTGCTTCCCTGGCAAGCACAAGGGTCTGGGATCAATCCCCGGTTCCACCAAAAAGACAAAAACAAACAAACAAACAAAAAATATACAGAAGAAACGAGTTCTTAAAAGCCACAGAGTTCCGCAAAAAAAAAAAAAAAAAAACTGACAGAAAAGTGAGGAACTTTTTATTTATTTTTATTTTATGAGCTATGTATGGAACCCAGGACCTCATCCATACTAGGGCAAGTGAGCCAACACTAAGCCACTCCCACAGCCTGACTCGGAATGTTAATGCACACTGCTAAGCAAAAGGAGACATTTGGAAAGGCCATGTACTGCATGATTCCCACCACGGCAGTGACCTAGTAAAAGGCAAAACCACAGAACAGGAGAAACACACGGGTGCTCTGGAGGGAGGGGATGCGCAGGAAGAGCACACAGGGATTTTCAGGAGCCCAAGTTTCTGCGTGACATTCTAATGGTAGATGCAGGGCATGAGACGTGTGTCATATCCCACAGAATGAACAGTATAAGGAGTGAAACCTAATGTGAATTACCTGCTTTGGTTAGTAACAATACATCAACATTGTCATCAATTGTAACAAATTATCACACCAAAGCAAGATGGGAATAACAGTAGAAATGCTACATTGGGAAAGAGGTATGTGGGAACTCACTCACTAATTTATACGTAATTTTTCTGTCAACCCCAAACTGCTCTAAACTGAGAAGGGGGTTACATGCCTAGGCTGGGAAAACACAAGTCTGAGCCCAGCCTGGATAACTCTAACTAGAAAGAAACTAGCTCAAAACTAGAAAGAAAGACAGACAGAGACAGAGACACATAGAGAGAGAGACAGACAGATAGACAGAAATTTCAAAAGGCCTTGGAATGTAACTTAGTATGAAAGCCTTGAGGGTTCAATCCCTTTATGGTAAAAACAAAATTTAAAAATTAAAAGAATTTCTTCAGAAAATACTCTATTAACACAAAACAGAACAGCTCAAAGCAGAGGGCTTTCCAGGAGCCTAAGTGCAATCCCAGCACCAGAACTCCAGCTGCTGTGAGAAAGCATCTGGGCTGTCCCTCAGCACTCCCAAGATTTCTGGCTGTCTCCCCCTGCCCACGTGCACTGCTGACTCCAGTGGATATCGAGGCCCATGATGCAAGCCCCTGCACCCCAACCACACACACCTTGTCTGTCACTGAGCAGGCAGCAATGGACCTTTGTGCCCTTTGTTCCCAAAGACTAACGAAATTGCAAAGAGGTCAGAATCTCTCTATTAGTCAGAGGACCTTGGTCTTCACGGCCTATGGGCTTTGAACCTCTTATGCAGCCTGCCCCAGCCTTTGCTTTCCCCAGCAAATTAAGAGTCTGGAATGGCTTTGGAAGAGTGTCTACATTGAGGCAGCTGAGAGAGCTGAGACTGCTCTTTTGAACTCAGGCCCCTGAGCTTGCCAAGGAAGCGCTTATTCCACTGAGCCATCTCCTGGGCCTCTAGACTGCTCTTTTGGAAGCATGGCCCACAATGGATCTGCTTGGGAGTTGTGCTGTGCAGTCCCCAACCTAAGCGGTCACCATTACCAACACGAAACACACAAGTTTCAGCCCATGGGTGTCACCTGCCTAGAGGCCTCAGAGGCAGCCCACCTCTCTCCAGCTCCTAGGGTGCAGCTCTGTACCGTGTGAGCCCAGTGCCCACAGTCATGAACCTTAGGCCTTGTTTAAAAACACCTCTGCCAGCAGTTACATAAAACCTGACCACGCTTCCTGCAAGCAGATTTCCCACTGACCCTTGAATCAGTGCTGAGAGAGGAATGAGGCTGAAGCTCTCTTGCCTGGGTAGAAACTGCTCAGCCTTCCTATTCTATTCTCAGATAAACATACAAATTAGCACAATTTCCCGGTATTTCTATTACTTTTTTGAAAGTGTCTGTGCTACCTGTTTTTTAAAAAATAGATTACCATTGAAAAAGATTGGAAAGTTAGACATTAAATATAACATACAGCAAAAGGCGTCATAAACAATGATAAGTAGTAAGAGACTGCAAGGAAAATATTTACTGTGTAAATATCAGTGCTTCTCAAGCTAGGGATTCTGCCCTCCACGGGACATAGGGCAATGTCTAGAAATGTTTATGGTCGGCTCCACTAGGGGCAGTAGTGTACTACAGGCGTCTAATGGATAGAAGCCAGAATGCTGTAAATTAAACCTTCTGCTAAGCACAGAGGGCACCACAAACGAGAAGTATCTGACCTAAAATGTCAGTACTGCAGAGGTTGAGAGAACATATTATACAGCCATCTATAGTGAGTTAAAAGGGGGCCTGCGCATCAGCTCAGTTGTTTAAATGCCTGCTTAAACAAAGCAGTCAGCCTCAGGATGCTGTGGTTCGAACCCCAGAACTCATGCCAAACCAGACCTGCCCTGAAGGCATTCTGAGGCTGCCAAAAAAAAAGAAAAAAAAAAATTTTTTTTTTTTTAATAAGCACTTGGCTGGCAAGCACAAGGTCCTGAGTT